ATTTGTTATGACATCTGCTTCTAACATTACAGTGCTCACGATAACTTTTGTTAACTCTCTCGTTTGTTACTCTTCGGCAGCGATTCCATAGAAATTTACAGAGCTACTGCAAAAAATGGAAGTTCAAAGGTGATATTCTAAAGATGGCAGCACACTTTTTTCTCTGTCTCAGATGGCACACTTCGGCCCTGTCCTAAATGGCACTCGTGGACTTCCTCTGAGTCGGTACATTCGTGACGGCACAGACACCGGCACGGACACCGGCATCTACAACGGCACGAACACCAGCACAGACACCGGCACGTACACCGACACGTACACGAACACCGGCACAGACACTGGCACAGACACCGGCACGTACACGAACACCGTCACGGACACCGGCACCAACATAGAGACACCGTCACGGACACCGGCACATACACGAACACCGTTACGGACACCGGAACCAACATGGACACACCGGCACGGACACCGGCACGTACACGAACACCGGCACGGACACCGGCATGTACCCCGGCACATACATGAACACCGGCACGGACACCGGTCGGCACCAACATGGACACACCGGCACGGACACCGGCAAGGACACCGGCACAGACACGGATACGGACACCGGCACGAACACGGATACCGGCACCAACATGGACACACCGGAACAAACACCAGCAAGGACAACGGACACACCGGCACGGACGCCGGCAAGGTTACCGGCACGTACAAGGACACCGGCACGGACACTGGCAAGGACAAAGGCACGGACACAGTGGGACGGATCCCGGCAAGGTACAAGGACACAACGACAAGGACACCAAGCACAGTCACTGGCACGTACACCGGCATGGATACAGACACCGGCACCAACATGGAAATTTATCTTAATTTAAGATAAATACATCTGGACTTACAAAATGGTGTGTGTGTGAGAGAGAGAGAGAGAGAGAGAGAGAGAGAGAGAGAGAGAGAGAGAGAGAGAGAGAGAGAGAGAGAGAGAGAGAGAGAGAGAGAGAGAGAGAGAGAGAGAGAGAGAGAGAGAGAGAGAGAGAGAGAGAGAGAGAGAGAGAGAGAGAGAGAATAAATGATTCACTCTTGCTGGTTTACAGTTTAACCTAGTCATTGCTTATATCTTAGGCCTTATCTTTTATTTTAATGACTTTTTTTAGAGTAAGAAACTTGAAATTCTGAAATTATACATTCGAAACGGACTTTTAAAGCAATTTTTACTTTTTAATGTCTATGACTTTTATTTGATCACTTCGGGGTACGCAAACCGAAATTCACAACGCTTTATCTGTAGAGTGGGAAAGGGATCCTCCATAGGGAGAGGATAGTTGACACTTCAGCACTGCATTGTCATCGGGTCCAGGCGAATCTCCTTCGTCAGATCTGGATACGGCCTGGATCCGGCTGGCTGCGGGAAAACCTCGGGATAAACAAAGACACTAAAGTTAGCGTAGATGCCATTCTTCTTATGATGTAACGAGTACATCAAGATTTAAGGGAAGTGTTCCCAGTTTTGGCTGACCTAATCTATGCAGCCTAACATTGAATTATAGTCTATAATGTATTATGTGTATGCTAGGTCAAAGAGATGTGTTTTTAGTCTAGCTTTGAACTGACAGAGTGTGTCTGCTTCCCGGACAATGGTAGGAAGACTGTTCCAAAGTTTTGGTGCTAAATAGGAAAAGGATCTACCGCCTGCCGTCGGTTTTGATATTCTAGGTATTATCAACTGGCCGGAATTTTGAGATCGCAATAGATGTGAAGGACTAGCCTATAATGCTTTTAAAGCTCACTCAAGTACTGCGGAGCTAAACCATTTAGTGCTTTGTAAGTAATCAACAATATTTTAAAATGTATACAATGTTTAATAGGGAGCCAATGCAGGGTTGACAGAACCGGGCTAATATGGTCATATTTCCTGGTTCTGGTAAGAACTCGAGCTGGGGCGTTTTGAACTAGCTGTAGTTTATTTATTAAGCGTGCAGGGCAACCACCCAGTAGAGCATTACAATAATTTAGCCTTGAGGTCATGAACGCATGAACTAATTGTTCTGCATTTCCTAATGAGAGCATATGGTGTATTTTAGATATATTTTTAAGATGGAAAAATGCAGTTTTACAGATACTAGACACATGACTTTCAAAAGAAAGGTTGGTATCAAAGAGCACACCCAGGTTCCTAACCGACGACGAAGACTTAACAGAGCAGCCATCAAGTGTTAGACAGTATTCTAGGTTATTACGTGTGGAAGTTTTTTGTCCAATAATCAGAATAAGTGCTTTTTGTATACAAAAGTGCTCCCTGATAGAAACAATTTGTTTTTTTAACAATCAAATAAATACGCAAACACAAATAATGAGAGTATTGTAGGAAGAGGTGAGTCATCATGAGTCTGCACCTGAAGATTGGGAGGAGGTTGATTAGATCCTGACCCTGGGGTCTAAGAACATAAAGCACTGGGCCCTGCTGGAGGGGTCAGCCTTAATTGGGCAAGTCATGGTCCAAGGGATAAGCATGTATAGTTTGTACTGGAGGTTGTCTGTTGATTGGCATGTATGCTACTACAAGTGCAGTACAAAGCATTTAATTTATGATTAATCTGAGAGCACACAATAACCACTGTTTTATCCTGCAGTGCTTTAATCAGTGTCTAAAGCGCCCTCTATTGGTGTTTGCTATTCATTACAGCTAATGCATGACTAATGTTGATATGTACAGCAGTGCTATAAATGATCCAAAAAATCTTGTAATCCGTTCTAAATTCAAATGAAAAATTAGTAATTATAAATTCCCATAAACTATTAGCTCCACCATATCTGGACTGGATAGGCCAAAATCCTTGAACTTATTATTTCATTATTATCCTAAGGTTTTCTTTAAATTAACGTTCAACCCGACCACACAGCATGATAACTTTTTCTCTGCAGTTATAGACTTTCTGTAGCCCCGCTGAGCTCGTTGTGCTCTGTATTGTTGTGCTTTGTGCGGTTTGTATTTCCACAGCATGAAGGTAAGATTTAAATCTTCCCGGTCTACTGACATTTGTTATGACATCTGCTTCTAACATTACAGTGCTCACGATAACTTTTGTTAACTCTCTCGTTTGTTACTCTTCGGCAGCGATTCCATAGAAATTTACAGAGCTACTGCAAAAAATGGAAGTTCAAAGGTGATATTCTAAAGATGGCAGCACACTTTTTTCTCTGTCTCAGATGGCACACTTCGGCCCTGTCCTAAATGGCACTCGTGGACTTCCTCTGAGTCGGTACATTCGTGACGGCACAGACACCGGCACGGACACCGGCATGTACAACGGCACGAACACCAGCACAGACACCGGCACGTACACCGACACGTACACGAACACCGGCACAGACACTGGCACAGACACCGGCACGTACACGAACACCGTCACGGACACCGGCACCAACATAGACACACCGTCACGGACACCGGCACATACACGAACACCGTCACGGACACCGGAACCAACATGGACACACCGGCACGGACACCGGCACGTACATGAACACCGGCACGGACACCGGCATGTACCCCGGCACATACATGAACACCGGCACGGACACCGGTCGGCACCAACATGGACACACCGGCACGGACACCGGCAAGGACACCGGCACAGACACGGATACGGACACCGGCACGAACACGGATACCGGCACCAACATGGACACACCGGAACAAACACCAGCAAGGATAACGGACACACCGGCACGGACGCCGGCAAGGTTACCGGCACGGACGCCGGCAAGGTTACCGGCACGTACAAGGACACCGGCACGGACACTGGCAAGGACAAAGGCACGGACACAGTGGGACGGACCCCGGCAAGGTACAAGGACACAACGACAAGGACACCAAGCACAGTCACTGGCACGTACACCGGCATGGATACAGACACCGGCACCAACATGGAAATTTATCTTAATTTAAGATAAATACATCTGGACTTACAAAATGGTGTGTGTGTGTGTGTGTGTGAGAGAGAGAGAGAGAGAGAGAGAGAGAGAGAGAGAATAAATGATTCACTCTTGCTGGTTTACAGTTTAACCTAGTCATTGCTTATATCTTAGGCCTTATCTTTTATTTTAATGACTTTTTTAAGAGTAAGAAATTTGAAATTCTGAAATTATACATTCGAAATGGACTTTTAAAGCAATTTTTACTTTTTAATGTCTATGACTTTTGTCAACATTTCGCTTCAGTATACTTTCGACTAGTAGCGGCTCCTGCCAGTAGATTTAGGTAGGGCATATTCTGGGTCTTAGCGCTAGTTTATGATAAACATTTTGTAAGCTTTATATTCTGATCACTGAACACATCAGACACACTTCTGTCAGGACCACTATCGTCAAATACGATTTACATTTAGCATACATTTTGGATTGGCGGTATGGTTCCGTTCTGGGCGAGAACTCCCTGCGCATCCATGCAGCCTAGCATGGATAAGAGCAGGGAGAGCAGCAATATATATTGTTATATGAGGTATTTGTTTGGATTAATATTTTAGTCTTTTCAACTTTTCAATTTTGACTATGTAATCATTTCCATAATTATGATTTCATTATTCAATTAATTATGATTTACAAAAGAGCAGTAGCCTACTAAATTTGGAACCGCATACTAGCATACTGCTCTTACTATTTTTGCCATAGAAAGATAAGATATGGTAAAAGTAGTAGGCTAGGCTATATGCGGTTCTGAATTCAGCACAAATGACTTTTTTCTTATGTGGCATAAATTGGTATTAATCCATCCAAGCAATAATCCATCCTATATAAATCTAACTCTGGATTGAAATTTTTACTAGTAGGTATTTTAGCATTATAATATGGCACTAAATGGACTCAACCCAGGATGTCAGATAAATGCCGCTGATGATCATTATAGTTGTAGTAGCGTGACTGCATGAACACGCTGCTGACACTGACGGCAGTAAATATTGAGCTCACTGCGCCCTCTACCGGTTAGACTTGTAATAGTAATATATTTATTCGCCGCGGTGATCAGCTGTGAATCTGCGGCTGGTGGTTGATGGTTGATGCGTCCACTGGAACTTCAAAATGCTGGCTCGTGAGATCAGAGAGCAGAAAAGAAACATGGCTGAGTGAGGATGAGACTACCCAGCTCTGTCCTTGTGTCGGTCTCGTTGTTTACGGCCGAGACGACGGCGGCTCTGTATCTGAGCAGCACTTACCGCTCCGCGGGTGATCAGATTTGGCAGTGTTTCACGCTCCTCTTCACGCTTGTGCCATCCGTGCTGGTGCAGCTCACACTTATCTTTATTCACAGAGACCTGAGCAGAGACAGACCTCTAGTACTGCTGCTTCATATATTACAACTAGGACCAATAATAAGGTAAGTGGCGACTCTCTGTACAAGGATGTGTTTCTGCTTAACATTACAAGCCTTGCACTCTCTGTGGAGGGAATTATACCCATCCACATTATGGATAAAAACAATGTCCATTGTGAGTGCACATAACAAAGGTGTTTCCCTCCACCCCCCCTTTTTTTCCTCACGCGCAAGATGAACCGTGCTTTACCTATTCATAAATATTATGAATATTTGTCGTTTAATTTATAATCCACTGTGCACATTCATGTCAAAGGTTTCATGGTTCAAGGATTCATGTACCCGGGTCTTTTCATAAAATGTGTACCTTCTCATTTTTGAAAAGGTGATTTTGAATAAACGTTTAAGGTTTTAACATTCTTAGACAAATAAATGTAATGCATATTTGGATGCCATAGACATATATTTTTTTAAAGTATAAGGACTGCGGGGTTATTAGTTTACAATTCATTATCAGATTTTTTTCTCAAGGCCATGGCATTGCAGGTGTGTATTGCAAATATAATTTAATGTTGATAATTCTACAAATATGCAGTTTTCATTAATTATTATACTAGACAAAGTAATGGCAATAGCACTGTAAAATAACAGGCACATCACATCATAATAGATGATGATGTCATGATGATTTTTTTATTTTATTTATGGAATTGAACAAGGGAATTCATGACAGTAACACCCTAGCAACAACAAAACGCTCTTGTAACGTTAGCATAAAATTTCTGTTATTTTATTTTAGGTTAGGTTATTTTTTGTGAACCAATTAGGCCTAATATTCCTATAATTAATTATACTTTCTTTTTTAAATAAATGCTGTTCTTTTTAACTTTTTATTGGTCAATGAATCCTAAAAAAAAGTATCACATGCTCCAAAAAAAAAAAAAAATTAAGCAGTTTCCACCATTGATAATAAATCAATATGTAATAATTATTTCTGAAGAATCATGTGACACTGAAGACTGTAGCAATGGCTGATGAAAATTCAGCTTTGCATCACAGAAATAAATGATATTTTTAAGTATATAATGGAAAATGGAAAACAGTTATTTTACATTGTAATAATATTACTGTTTTTTTTCTTCTGTATTTTTGATCAAATAGGCTTGATGAGCAAAAGAGACTTCTTTTGAAAACATTAAAAAATAGTAATGTTTCCAAACTGTACCATGCCACAAGCTGGATAATTTGTGTCCTTAGATTATCTATAAGTATAGTTATTGGTGTTATTGACAGCTTCCATTCCAGTCCAGGCCTCACAGTAAAACTGTTCCATCTCTATCAGTCTGTGTGTTGATGCATTGACCATGTGCATAATTGAATCATTGATATTGCCTCTATTTCTCTAATAGTACAGTTTAGCAACGCAACCTGTGCCGGCTCATTCAGATTATGCTCAGCACAATTTCAGCCCTGCGTCATTAATGTTTAATTCAGTTGTTTATTTTCTTTGAGTTTGTGTGAATGGGCTGTAAAATCTCTCTTGGCCTTCTCTTAACAAGCTCTCATCCATCACATTATCACCAAGGTTGCCGACAACTTATTACTGTAAAATGGCAAGTTTGTTGTCAAGGTCTGGGATAGGTAATGCTCACTCAAGGATTGGCACCTGTCCTGTGAGACCTAGTCTCTGCATTTTAAATGAATGAGATGGAGAGATTGTTCACTGAGGCCTTAGAATAGCTGTCCTCGGGTAAGCTACAACTAAACTGGTGAGCTTTCATTGGATTGAGTGCAATTCTCTGAGCACTGACATGGTCTACTGTGACACGGCGGATGGATAAAAGTAGGATCCAACAATTCTAGGACATTTGCAGCAAACTCAGCGACCCCTTAGTACAAAAAGGGTAGCTTTTCTGGGTTGCTATGTTTAATTAAATAACACTACTAAACATTATGGTAAACCAGTGCTAATAAGGTTTCTGGTCAATTTAGCTTTTGTTTTGTTAATTTTATTTTAATAATGAAAATAACCAAAGGCAATATATGTTGTTTCTTTCAGCTATAATTTAAAAGGTATATTTATATATAATATTATTTATATAAAATATTATAATAAATTATAATTTATATAATTTATATATTTATTTTATTTTAAAAATAAAAATAACCAAATACAATATATGTTTTTTCTTTCAACTGTAATTTAAAAAGTTGAAGAACTATTTATTTAATTTAATTTAATTTAAAATTATTTTTATTTTATTTTATTTTATTAACCAAAGGCATTACATGTTGTTTATTTCAACTGTAATTTAAAAAGGTATATAACTATATTGATTTTATTAAATATGAATTATTTTCAATACCTTATCATTTGAACGGCTATATAACTATTTAATTTGATTCCATTAGGTGCCTTGATGCCTTCTGTATCTACGGCAGCGCTGGAAAGGTGGAGGAGCCGTATGTCACCATCACCCGTAAGAAGCAGATTCCCCGGGACGGGCAGACCGAAGAGGTGGAGCAAGAAGTGGGCCAGGCGGAGGGAAAGTTAGTCACGCACAGAGCCGCTTTCGCCAGGACCTCGGTCATACAGGCCTTCCTGGGCTCTGCACCCCAGCTCACGCTGCAGCTCTACATCTGTGTGCTGCAGAAAGGGGTGTCTATCGGTAGAGGTGAGAAGTGCACATCTTTTTTTTTTTTATTCATGTGCCCTCGTATCCTTTAATCAAAATAACTTCCGGCAACGTCTCTTCTCTTCTCTGATGATGTGTTTACTGGCATGAGGGCATGAACAACATGTCAATCACATGAGATCACTAGCAAACCACAACCAATCAATTCCTGATGCACAAAATCAAGTCCCAGCCTACATTTTTTCTAGTTTTAGAAGAGCCGCTTCACTCGGATAGGCTATATGTCACAATAGAAAAAAAGAAGACGATCGCAACTACCATTTCATGCCGACTTTAAAAAACAAAATGTTGGACATTTCCAGAATGAGACTTCTTAAGTCATCTTAAGGGTTTCTAGAGCATGACTAAGACTTTTCTTATTCCTGCTTTGTTTTCGTTCTGTTATTTGGCCTTGTGAAGTACAGCAAAGTGGAGCATTGCAAGCTTATGAGTTTCACTGTTAATACGTTTTGTCATTCTCCACCACATCTGTAAAGTGTTAAGTGTCAGGGAGAACAATTGAGAACTCAATGTCATTGAGGCATGTCATGTTTCAGCTCAACAAGTATGGTTTGTCTGTACACAGCCTTTGTTGCATATTCTGCAAGTTTCCTCCATAGAATATCTTTGTAAGTCCTCTCTATTGAAGGTGGAACCGTTCCCCACGTCACCCATCTAAATTTAACACGCTCTTCTCAGTGATACATTCTGCACACATGCTTGAGTTTCAACTAATGCCTCTGAAATGACTTTGGCTGGTGTACTTATCTATTTCCTCTTGTTATCACAAGGACGCACACTTTGTTTCTGAGAATATCAGCTAAAATAGATAGCGTGTTTTCAGACAGGGCCTCAACAGACAGAAATAATTTATGAACTGGTCAACAGATAAATTAATTTAATTAAATCCCCCGAAGCACTTCACACCAAAGAAAATTGGAAATCCCTGAAAATAACCAATAAACAACTCATTTGTATAGACTAGTGTGTCTGAGACTACAGTACATTGAACATCTTTTATATTTACTCATTATAAACAGAAATATTCAGAAAGTTTAATTTGATTAATTTATTACTTTTATTATTTGATAATAAAAAGCTGAAATAAATATACATTAGTTTACATAAAAACTAATAAACAAAGTATACTGCCAATATACTGCAGTACAGAACACTACAGCCAATATTTTTGTTTATTGTTATTTTTTGTAAACCTGGAACTAAACAGAACGGTTTATGATTTTACATAAAAGTTAATAAACAACATACTGACAATATACAGTGTGTGGAAGTAAACTGAAAGTTATAGATTTTTAACGGGAAAAGTTTTGATATAAAATGCTTTATTATGTTATGCTGGTAATGTAAAATGTGTGTTTTATTACAAAAGCAAGCAAAAGTCTATTTTGGACTGTTGGACCCCACTGTAAATTTTTGGCAGCTGTGTCACTGTACACTGAGTATTAATATGTATAGACCCGACTCTGTCTCGCAGATATATTGTCATCCGCACTGCATGAGGAATGTGTTGGCAGCCTTGCAGTCTGTCCTTGAAAGCAGTATTGCAGATGGAAGACCATAATGGACAGTGAATCAGTCTGACCCCATTACCCATGAGGCATAGAGTAATGAAACGGTGACTGACTTTAGATCAGATGGAAGGCTGAAAGGCCATATGTTTGCACTGCTGGTGGATTTAGGCCTTCAGGGTTTCTGCTTTTGTTATTCTTTTATTACTTAACAGCATAGTAAATTATGTAACTAAATGGCAACATATTGTGCACCGCAGTTATGGAGGCCCAAACCTGCCTAAATGAAAGATAAATAAATAAATATACTAATATGAGAATAAATGACTTGATAAAACAAAAACAATTAATTTTAAATTAAACTTAGTCCTGAATTTATTATTTTCTGTATTCTTTTTTTAACTTTATTTTTTATTGATTTTTATATTTATTTATGCATTCATTTATTTTTATATTTATTTATTAACGTGTGTGTTTAGTTTAATATTTATTTAGATATTTATAGTCTATTATTAATTTTTCTTTTCTTTGAGTTATGAGTTTTATTCTATTACTTTATTTGTTTTTATATTTATGTATGCATTCATTTATTTTTATATTTATTTATTCCTATGTGTGTTTAGTTTAATATTTATTTATATATTTAAAGTCTATTGTTATTGTTTACTTTTCTTTGAGTTATGAATGTTATGTATTTATTTTTAACTTTATTTTTATTTTATTTATGCATTCATTATTTTATTTTATTTTACCTCCCTACATAGTACAGTGGTTTATTCCATATCCACATATCTAACACAAGATCTTTGTTCAATTGCTAGTTTTAACCACACATTATGTTGTCGCTGAATTTTCTGTGATTATGTTTTATTCTTTTCCCTCCCTACCAGGTACATTGATGGTCATTTCCCTTCTCTCAATTGTATATGGAGCCCTACGCTGCAATATTCTCGCCATAAAGATACGCTATGATGATTACGAAGTGTCCGTGCGTCCGTTGGCGTACCTGTGCGTGTTCCTGTGGCGAGGGTTCGAGATCGCCACGCGCGTGACCGTGCTGGTCCTCTTCAGCTCAGTGTTGAAGGTGTGGGTGCTTCCGGTGGTGTCAGTCAACTTCGTCCTGTTCTTTCTTCGCCCGTGGGTTCTCTTCTGGAGCAGCCGCTCTCCGTTCCCGGAGAACATCGAGAAGACATTGACGCGTGTGGGGACCACTATCGTCCTCTGCATGCTGACCTTCCTGTACGCTGGCATCAACGTGTTCTGCTGGTCCGCTGTTCAGCTCAGATTGGACGACCCCGACTTGATCGATAAGCGTCAGGCATGGAGGCGGGTGGCAGTGTATTATTCCCTCCGTTTTGTCGAGAACACGGGACTGACTTTGATGTGGTACGTCCACCGGACTGAGTTCTACCAATGGGTGGATGCTCCCGTGTTAGAAATACTGCTGTTGTTGGGTTATGCCACAGCTGTGTTTTTTATGTTACTCTTTTACCAGTTCTGCCACCCTTGCAGGCAACTGTTCTCATCCAGTCCAGCCCAGGGCTTTTGGGAGTGCTGTGGATCTCTCTGCCTGCTACGTGGGACTCTTCCCCAGCCGGGCTCCATAAGGACCAAACCACCAGGGAAAGACAATGGAGACGATCCACCCTGCGTTACCAAAGGGGACATCGGGCAGAGTTTGTGCGGCGTCGTGTGAGCAAAGCACAACTTAAAGGGACTTAAGTTCACCCAAAAATTACAATTCTGTCATCATATACTCGCCTTTATAGTGTTTCAAACACATAAGATATTGGTTAATCTTCGAAACAAAAAGATATATTTTATGAAACCTGAGAGGTTTCTGTCCCTCTACTGAAAGTCCATGTAACCAAAAGATAGAAGATCCAAAATGGTCATAAAGGCATCGTAAAACGAATCCACTTGAATCGAGTGGTTTAATCCAAGTCTTGTTTAAAGGTGCTCTACGTAACTTTTAGCGGCCTCTAGTGGTGATGTTTCAGATTGCAACCAAATTTTACAAGAACGCTCATGCTCAAACTCATAGACAATACCGTCTATTACGCAAATATCTCGGCGAGTACTAGACGGATTCAGCGAGCACCGAGCTCGTTGGGACCATCTAGTCGAGCTGAAAAGAACCATATAAGTTGCATAGTTTTTGGTGGTGTTTTCGCGGAGATATTAGCAGAAAACCATCGGGCGCGCTGCAAAATTGCGGACGCCAGAGATGCACGTCACATCCGTTGGATTTCGCGGTAAATCCGACCCGGAGACTTCACATAGAAATAGGAATACTGGCCTTCAGAGGTAATAGCAAAACCCGACAAGTGTATCATTTTAATGTGTGATTACAACCCCTTCACACACAGGCAATAAAAAAAGGATTCATTTTAGAAGAAAAGTTCCATATAGCACCTTTAAGTGATTTAGGCGTTTATTCACATTTAAACACAGTCATTGGTTCTCGTGAGTGTGTGAAGCTTGTGATTCATGTACAAAGCTTCTGTGTTTATAATATGTTCAGTATGTGAAGATCATTGTTTAGATGTAAATAAAAGCGTTCATCATATAAAGCGATCGTATCTCTTCACAAGACTTTGATTAAATGTTTTGATTTATATGGATTTGGGTTTTTTTACGATGCCTTTATGACCTTTTTGGATCTTTTAAGTTTTGGTTATTTGGACTTTCAACAGAGGGACAGAAACCTTTTGATGATTAAATCAATGATAAAGTCTCTTTGGTTTGGAACGACATGAGGGTGAGAACATAATGACAGAATTTATTTGTGGGTGAACTATTCCTTTAAAAACATTGCCATGAAGTGCCCTTTAAGGATCGAAAGGGAAAAATGAAATTAAAATGATGGATTTCTGCCTTTTACACTTTATGGTGGAATGTAAGAGGCAACGTTTGTTCAACTTTCAGATGAATATACATTTTCTTGTTTTGTTTACAAAGCGTATGAGCCAGCATGGTCCACTGAAGTGCATGTGAAATTCCCTAACAAGATGAAACCGCTGCTTTTGTCATGTGATGTGGGAGCGCTCTGTCCCTCGTTCGGTGTCGGTTTGATTAATGTTATAGCTTCTAATCTCTCTCAGTGTCTGCATTATTTACAGCAGATTTATTTAAAAGATTGTATTTGCTAAGTTATAAGCTTTCGTTGATTTTTCCATCACTTTAAGGGCATTGCTGTCTTGACAACCTCTCAGGTTCATTATTAGTACTTCTTAATACTCATTTTATGCTTAAAATATTATTATCATTTTATTACTTAAAAAACAAAAATAGTAAGACTGTTAAATTAGTTCTAATTGGTCATATGATAGTGTCCTATCTTACGACAACATATGGCCTAAATTCAAGTAACTGCCTAAAAATGCTTTCAGATTGTAAGGATTTATTAGGGGTAAAGATTACAGTTGGGTTACCCGGCCAGCACCTTCATAATCCTGCAAAGAATAATTTAATTGATTGTTTTTCCTTTGTTTACACTCCTATTTTGAACTCATCTCATCTGGGACCTTTTGCACATTGTTCTCATTTTTCCTACAAAAAGTATAAAATGTCATTATTTTCATAGAGGGCAGTAGATGATTGTATCTTAACTTTACTGCCCCCCTGTGGGGTGTTGAATGAACGAGTTAATTCATTTAGAAAGACAATGGTCAGGGTTGCATCTGGAAACTCCCTTAAAAACATGTCCATAAGCACTGTACAGCACATCACATCACTGCTTTTGATATGTGCAACTGTCAACTAAACCCATAATAAAATAAATAAAGGAGAATGATATTTTGTCCATGAAAGGACATCAGTTTATTGATCTCTTTTGCAGTTATCTATCTATCTATCTATCTATCTATCTATCTATCTATCTATCTATCTATCTATCTATCTATCTATCTATCTATCTATCTATCTATCTATCTATCTATCTATCTATCTATCTATCTATCTATCTATCTATCTATCTATCTATCTATCTATCTATCTGTCTGTCTGTCTGTCTGTCTGTCTGTCTGTCTGTCTGTCTGTCTGTCTGTCTGTCTGTCTGTCTGTCTGTCTGTCTGTCTGTCTGTCTGTCTGTCTGTCTGTCTGTCTGTCTGTCTGTCTGTCTGTCTGTCTGTCTGTCTGTCTGTCTGTCTGTCTGTCTGTCTGTCTGTTCCCTCCGTCCGTCCGTCCGTCCGTCTGTCTGTCTATGGAGGACAAAGTTCACTTCAATTAAAACCAATTTAACGAAAGACTGTAACAATTGCAGAAAAATGATTTAAATCATATAACCATAACAGTTTTGACACTATAACAACTAACATTATATTAAAGAGTAAAATGCAGGCTGGACTATAAACCAGAAAGAGAAGTAAGAGTTCACCTGATCCATCCCCTATAGGGTTGAGGAACTTCGCTTGGTGGTTTCTGATTTGTGATGACATTTCCTGACTTGCTTCTATGCTTTATATACCAAATACTCATTTATCTTGTGTCTTTCTTCAAATTCTCTCTTGATCTTCTCTTACTACACATCTCAACATCATGGGAAACTTCGCTGCAAATGAAGGACTATCCATTTTTGTTATCGTAAGCTATTAGGATTATGATTTTAGGATTGGTTTCTTATTTAAATTAACTTTTAAAAATATTTTTATTTTAATATCTTTGGATTCTTACTTTTCTTTTTTAAATGACTTGTTTTTTTGTGTTTTCTTTTAGCACAATTATTTGTTAAACATACTGAAAAACAGAGATACTATTAATGTTTTATACTTTAATTACTTTTAATACGCCTACAACATTTCTTAAACGCTCTCCGTTCTGTTTTTCAGCTTGTGTGGCTCGGCATCAATGCGTTTCTCTTTGTACATTTTTATATGGAATTTTTAATTGACAGATACTACTATTCTAGAGTCATACTTGGGGTAAGTGACAAATCCTTTATACATTTTAAATATTTAATTTGTTAATTAATATATTCATATAATTAATGACATTGTTGTAATTTTATAATTAGTTTAATGTCAATTATTATATTGATGCCAATATGTTTTTTTTAAATGTATGTTGTGTAATTTGTAATTGTAATAATTTGTGTTGTTAAATATAATGTTAAGACACTCCAGTGTTAATTATATAGTTATATTTTGAATCTAATTTATTGTTTGTGTATTGTACTTTTATTTCTATGCTAATGTATTGTTAGATTCTACTCAGAACTTCTGTAAGAGTACAATGTTTATATGTAAAATGTTACATTTACATTTTATCTGTAAGGACTATATTTGAATGCATCTGCAAATATGTTGTTCAGAGCTTAAAATAGGAAGTGAAAGTTCCCCTCTCTCTCTCTCTCTCTCTCTCTCTCTCTCTGTGTGTGTGTGCTCACAGCACGCTCTCTCCTGGGCCAGAGCTCCAGCTGCATGTCTGAATTTCAACTGCATGTTGATCCTGCTGCCCGTCTGCAGAAACCTGCTCTCATTCCTACGCGGATCCATACAGGTCAGGAGAGGAGCAACAGAGCGAAAGTGAAAGGCTTATCCACTTCAGATAGTGAAAAGTGATGTGTGTGTGTGTGTTCACAGTGCTGTAGCCGCACTGCAGCCCGTCAGCTAGACAGAAACATCACTTTCCACAAACTGGTGGCCTACATGATTGCCTTCCACACAGGTACTGCAAGAAAGACACTTTCACTTAGTTTCCACGTTTACATCCTTTTCCTAATCTTTTTACGATTTTCAAATCTTTCTAAAATGCCACTAAACCTAAACTCTAAATTTGGTGTTGAAACAATTTTCACTCAGTAAATTGTCAATAAATTTCACAATTAACGGGGTCAGGAGTTTAAATAATTACTTCTTTCTTTTTTTAAATGTTTTTGAAAAGAAGCCTCTTATACTCACAAAGGCTGTGTTTATTTGATCACAAATACAGTAAAACAGTAATATTGTGAAATATTATTACAATTTAAAAGAACTGTTTTCTTTTTGAATATGCTGTATATAAAAATGTGATTTATTCCTGTGTTGGCAACGCTGGAATTGAAGTAGAAAACAGTTAATTAAAATTGTAATGCTATTTCACAATATTACTGTTTTTAGTATTTTTATCGAATAAATGCAGCCTTGGTGAACAGAAGAGACTTTCAAAAAGTCTGAATTATTCCAAACTTTTGACCGCCAGTGTAAAACATACCCCAATAATCTTTGTTTTATTTACAACTTCAAAAAAAGTCATATTTACAGTGTAGCCTATACGTCTTGCATGCATGATGTTTTATAGATAATTATCCCACTGATTTCTTGTATATTCCCCCAGCCATCCACATCATAGCTCACCTGTTTAACTTTGAGAGATTCATGGATTCCCAGCTTATGATCAACAGCAGTTACCTGCCTTACGTGCTCTCTCAAATTGGCAACAACGGCAACAGATCCTATCTGAACCCCATTAGAACCAATGAGACGGTGAGTCTTTCCAGCAAGTTTTGCAAGGTTTTTACTCATTTCAGAGTTGCACATTCTCAGTGTCAGCAGAAGTTCCCTCTAAAACACTGATTCTGAAGCAGCTTCCTGCTCATTACGCAAGGAACCTCCAACTGATCTGACTTCAGGCCCGTAGGATACCTCCCACTTCCACCCACGGGTGCATCACAGAACCATCATGCTGCTGCCGATGTTGTGATCACATGATTTGTAAAATTCTGTTGCCATAGTGTTGCAATGATGACCCAGTGGACAATAGCCAGAAATAGAAAATTGAGAGGATGAAAAGCTTATGATCATAACAAAAACATTTATAGTGCCATGTTGAAACATACGGAAGCGTATTGCATTCACTTGAGGGAAAAAATCTACTCTCATTTTTTCTGAATTAACGAGTTAGTTATCTCAGAATTACGAGATAATTTTTCATGGAAAAAAGTTTTTGCTCTGTTTTTCTGAATTAATGACTTGATAAAAAATTTTTTCAAGACAAATGTATCTCATAATTCTGACATATTAACTCGTTAATTCAGAAAAACAGAGCAAAAACTTGTTTTCCATGAAAAATTATCTCGTAATTCTGAGATAATTAACTCGTTAATTCAGAAAAACAGAGTAGATTTTTTTCCTCAAGTGAATGCAATACGCTTCCGTAGAAACACAATCGACACTAAAAAATAATACTGTATTTAATTGAGAGAACCTATAACAGATTTAAAAAAAATTAATGGCATTTATTTGAAATTTTGTAACATTTTAAATCTCTTTACTGCCACTGTCCACTCCTTGCTGAATAAAAATATGAATTTCTTTTACAAAAAAACAAACTTACAGACCCCAAACTTTTGAACAGTAGTGTATATCAGTCTGAAAACTGCACAATGTTCATTTTTGCCGTCTACTCTAACTTTGTCACTTTTTGACAGTAATGTTTTATATGGTCATTTTTTTTGTGTGTGTTTTGGATTTCCCAGAACCCAACCATAGTGATGTTCACATCTATAGCGGGACTGACGGGGGTGGTCATCACCCTCGCCCTCATCCTCATCATCACTTCCTCCATGGAGGTCATCAGAAGGTCGTATTTCGAGGTGTTCTGGTTCACACATCACCTGTTCATCGTCTTTTTCATTGGTTTGGTGCTTCATGGAGTTGGGTGAGGGTTTAATTCAATTCATATTTTTATTTTTTGTTCATCGAAATCTAAACCAAATCTGAATCTCACAATATGATACATTAGATAATCCTGTTTTAAACAAACAAATGCAATAATACATCTAGAGAGAAGTTTTATGTTCTTGAGAAGTTTTCAGATCATGTGACACTGAAGACTGGAGTAATGATGCTGACAATTTAGTTTGCCATCACAGGCATAAATTACATTTTAGATGTAAAAAAATTAGGGCTGTCAAATGATTAATCACGATTAATCACATCCAAAAATAAAAGTTTTTTTTACATAATATATGTGGGTGCACTGTGTATAATTATTTTGTATATATATAAATACACACACATGCATGTATATTTAAGAAAAAATATTATTTATATATAAAATATTTATATTTATATATAATATAAATTATATATAAATCTATATACAGTATATACATGAAAATATTTCTTAAATATATACAAGCATGTGTGTGTATTTATATAAAATAATTATACACAGTGCGCACCCACATATATTATGTAAAAAAAACTTTTATTTTGGATGTGATTAATCATGATTAATCATTTGACAGCCCTAAAAAAAATACAAAATAAAGACAAAAAAATATATAGATACTAAAATAAACGATATATTCTAAAATATGAAAAGCACGCAAACTGGATCTGAATATAATAATATGTAAATATGTGATTTAAGCACTGAGGAGATTCAGTGCAAAATCCTCCAGACTCTTTTTCTTTTAATTTGTACAGTATAAAGTTGAGCAATTCTTAACTCTACACTTGCTCCGTCACTGTCAGTCCCACAGTTCACTGTCTTTTGCGAGCCTGCTGCTCTGTGCTAATAGTTGTTGATTTGAAAACACCAACTCATTTCTGCTCATCCATGCCAGTGAACACATGGTTGGGCTTACAGTTTGAAGCTAATAAAAGGCAGGTTTTCCAGCAGTGTTTATTGAAGCATCATGTAAATTGATGGCACATCTCAGTCATAATACAGTACATGTTGACAGGTGCATAATGCTATAGCAGGAGAAATATCATGGATTATTTATGCAATAACAGTATGTCTGTGTAGGCGTATTGTGCGAGGCCAGACTCTTGAAAGTACAAAAGTGCACAACCCTATTAAATGTCACAGCCAGTTTGAGACCTGGGGTCAAAACGGCACCAACTGCCCTGAACCTGTCTTTGCTGGGAACGCCCCGATGGTATATCATAAATCTCAAATACAATCTATAATCTATGGAAGCTTGTTTCTGCCACGTGGGACCCCCCCGCCCCGGTAATTTTAACTTTAATCTCACAATTCTTTTTTCTCGCAATTGCTAGTTTATATCTCGCAATTCAGATTTTATAACTCACAATTGCTAACTTATATATCACAATCATGAGAAATGATATAATATATAGATATAAACTTGCAATTAAAAATGTAATTGCAATGTTTCATCTCACAATTCTGGCTTTTTTCCTTTCAACCCGCACATGACAGGAAAAAATATCTGTATCGTGGCCACGAATGAACAATTTGTTACCACGGATTACTAATACATCAGCATGTTTTACTAATTTGTTCCCTCATTTTAAGTAAATTGTGCGCACAATATAATAATTTTTTTCCTTGCTTTACCACATAATGTGCATGATATAATAATTTGTTCCCTTGTTTTACTCATTTCTGAACATGTTGTAATAATTTGTTCCCTCGCTTTACTAAATAATGCGCATGATATAATAATTTGTTCCCTTGTTTTACTAAATTGTGGCCATGTTGTTATAATTTGTTCCCTTGTTTTAGTTAAATCAAAACGAGGGAACGAATTAGTACAACATGGCCACAAATTACTAAATCGAGGGAACAAATTAATAAGTTGTGAGAACGAATTTGTAGTTGTTTGTGGGCATGATTTAAACTAAAACAAGGGAACGAATTAGTAAATTGTGTCTTAATTAATTTTATTTCATGGTGGAAACAAGCTTCCATAATAACCATATTTTAGCACATAAATACATACATATTTATTGTCAGCATTTCAAACACATGTACTTCCTCTTACAGACGTGGAAGTGGGTGGTTGGCCCCATGTTTCTATACGTCTGCGAGAGACTGGTGCGCTTCTATCGCTCACAGCAGAAAGTGGTGGTCACCAAGGTTAGGAAATCAAGTTATTTAATTAGCAACCAATCCATTTCTTCCCCTCTCACCATATTACGCCACTTTGCAGGTAGTGATGCACCCCTCCAAAACCCTCGAACTGCAGATGAAGAAGAAGGGCTTTAAGATGGAGGTCGGACAGTATGTTTTCATCCAGTGCCCGTCGATCTCTCAGTTGGAGTGGCATCCCTTCACCCTGACCTCTGCCCCGGAGGAAGACCACCTTAGCGTGCATATCCGAATTGTAGGGGATTGGACACAAGCCCTTTATACGGCCTGTGGAGGGGACAAGACTGTGGTGCTGGATGCTTGGACACTACCGAAGTAAGATTAAAGTGACAGATGAGTTATTTAAAGAGATGGTGAACCTTCTGTCATCATTTAACCCACCCTCATGTTATTCAAAACCTGTATGACTTGTTTTGGACAGCACTAACTTTCATTGTATGGATAAGAACATTTTTCAAAATGTCTTCATCTGCAGAAGAAAGAAAGTCATACAGGGTTGAAACAACATGAAGGTGTATATTAATGTGCAAATTATCATTTTTTGTGAACTATCTTCTTAATGTCACATTTTTCTTGTGGAACTCAAAAACTTGAATTACACAGATGCAGTGTTTTAAATAGTACTAGTGAGTTTCACTTTTAAAATGGGAAAATACATGTGTAAAAAGGGGATGTGGGCTTACAATCACAGTTGCAAAAAAGAGAAGTGTGGGAAGACCAGGTCTTTGCTTGAGAAGATGGTAGGCAATATGGCGATTTCAACATGAGTGAATTTTTGTTGCTGTTTCTTCCTATGTGTTTCCTAATTTCTTCCTCCTTCAGTACAGAACTGGAAGAATGCAAATTGTGCAACATGATAAAGCGAACAATGCAATGCTCAGTTATTTCTTCAGTCTGCTAGTTTGCCATGCATAATGGCTCTCTGGTGTTCTCTGTGCAGGATGGCTTTGGATGGGCCGTTTGGGACGGCCAGTGAAGATGTCTTTCGTTATGAAGTTGTGATGCTGGTTGGCGCCGGTATTGGTGTGACACCTTTCGCTTCTGTTCTGAAGTCTGTGTGGTACAAACACGTCCAGGAGAACAAAAACGTCTTCACCAAAAAGGTGATGAACAGCAGCACTAAGTTTAGCAATTGAAACTTTGAATGATAGAACATCTTTGTTTTCATTTGTTTGCAGATGCCACGTTTATTTTACATATACACTACCGTTCAAAAGTTTGGGGTCGGTACGATTTTAAATACTTTTAAAAGAATTCTCTTCTGCTAACCATGGCTGCGCTTATTTGATTAAAAATACAACAAAAATCAGTTATAGTATTAAATATTATTCCAGTGTAAATCAGCTGTTTTCTGTGTGAATATATAGTAAACTGTAATTTATTCCTGTGATCAAAGCTGAATTTTCAGCATCACCAGTGTCAGTGTCTTCAGTGTCAAATGGTCCTTCACAAATCAGTATAATATGAGGATTTGATGCTCAAGAAACATTTATTATTATTATCAATGTTGAAACAGTTGTTGGTCTGTCAGTTGTAAAGTTTTTTTTTTTTAGGATTCTTTGATGAATAGGAAGTTCAAAAGAACAGCATTTGTTTGAAATAGAATCTTTTGTAACATTATAAATGTCTTTACTGTCCTTGATAAATAAAAGTATTGATTTCTTTCCTCCAAAAAATAAAAATAAAATTCTCACTGACCCCAAACTTTTGAACGGTAGTGTATATACTTTAGGAATAATATATATACAGTATATGAATAAAAGTGTAAAATGTATGCGTTCTACTTTAAAGGTGTTTTGCAATTGAAGTCTATAGACAAAAATAGAATGTCATAAAATAAATAAAAATAAATACATACTTTCCTCTTATCTGAAAGAAGTCGAGTAATATAAGCAATTTGGATTGCAAGGGTTACTACAGTAATGTTCTGACATTTGACTTGTGCAGATCTATTTCTATTGGCTGTGTCCGGAGACACAGGCTTTTGAATGGTTCGCAGACCTTCTGCAGAGTTTGGAAAGACAGATGACAGAGAAAAACATGAGCGATTTCCTCAGTTACAACATCTATCTCACACGCTGGAAAGACGCTGAGGTGGGCGAAAAGATGTGCTTGTTGAATGGCAGATAATGTAAACCATTTTGAACTTCACTGAAATACAAACAGTCCTCTGATAGTCATTTTGATTATTGTTTAAAGGCGGCCCACCTTAGGGTTCAATATGAGGCGGAGGATGATCCTATCACTGGGCTTAAGCAGAAGACTCGGTATGGTAAACCCAACTGGGACAATGAGTTCAGTGCCATCGCTACCCAACACCCAGGGTATGTAGTGTGTGCTAAATAAACCATAACAGATCGTTCCGGTCCTTGATTACATTTGGTAAATTATTCTAAAAACAGCCGTGCCTAAATTCACCATAAACCACGGCTTCTTGCTTTAGTGAAAACTTTTAAAGGCTTAGTTTCTACACTTGCTAAGTATTATTGGTTTTCTCTTCCTTCTCTCAGTTCAAAAGTTGGCGTTTTCCTGTGTGGTCCCACGGCACTGGCCACAGCTCTGGGGAAGCAGTGTCATTCACACACAGAATCTGGAGCTGAATTTATATTCAACAAAGAAAACTTCTGATGTGCTTCACCACCATTTGGACAACTCATGTGTATCAGAACCTATGGATGCTGATTAACACATTTTAAATCGATGTACGTACAGTAGTCAACATTTGAAGTGGATCAAAACCTTTAATCAATTTTGAACAATACCCATTATCCACTTCAAATGTTGACTACTGTATATATATTTATATATATATAAAATTACTGTGTAGAATATGAATACTTGTTTTCAAAGATTGTATCTTGAATATGTTTTGTCTTACTGAATTGGTAAAAAATATATTTCACTTAGTTGTTTAAAACGGTTTAGGTTTTAAAATAATGAAATTCTTGTTAATAATAGACTTTTTGCATGGCAAGTTTTTGTAATTATGATGTCTAGATATGTCAGGGCTGTGCATGATGCAGAAATAATCGATTTTTATATACCATAAAGATCAGTGTTATTTTACTGTTAGTGTGTGGAACTACCCTGCTATCCAAACATGCTTCCCCTTTCTTAAGTGGAAGTTAAATAAACCCTATGAAATCTTGAGTTGCGAAATTTGGTGGTAATCAATTTTCATCCATTCAATGTCCCTTTCATTCATATTAATATGGTACATTATACGTATACGACGTTTTTAACATTGTGCAACAATTCTGTATGGGATTTATAGATGGACTTGTGTGTAAAAACTGAATCTACTTAATCTTTAACTTAACTCTTTCGGCAAAATTATTGTGTGCTTGCTGATTTTAAACTTAGGAGAAGTGGAAAAACTCAGTTTTAGTTCCCAGAAATGAAAATCAAACACGTATTGACATGAAGTGACATCCTTGCGTTGTTGTAAATTTCCCCTAATATTTTGCATGTGGTTCTATCAGAGTTTGCATAGCCTATATTTTCAGATGTGAAAATGTCTTTGGGTGCAAATCCTCCCAAAAAAATTATAAAGACAAACATCATGATATATCAATTTTCCTCAACTGGATTATTAAACCCAAAGCAGAAAACTTTAATAATTAAACATCAACATATTCTATACAGAGCAAAGGTGCATGTAACCTTTGCAAGTCCAAAAAAAAGAAAAACATACACGTACAATGTGGTAGATAAGCACTTGCAGATTAGGTAAAACAGACAAGTTGAACATGGTTTAAGTCTTAGCCAGTGCGTTGAAGGCTTCATAACAGACGTGATGGTATGATCGTCAGAGCGAAGGTAGTTTTCCCGATCTGTGCCTGTGTGTGTGTCACATCTCAGCCCTGGTTCCAGCTCATAGCGCAATAGCCACTGCAAACACACTGACGACGCAGTACATGGTGCGGTTCTCCCACCTCACTGTGCAGCTTCCTGCGAAAACACACACACACATCCTAGAATGAAATCAGATGCACAAATGCTTCATCTTATTTAGTTTATCTGAATCATATCTGGCAAAATCATGTGAAAAGTGCCCCATAATTGCCATACTTTTTACAAAATACAGGTTTTAAAACAAAAAGTAATAAGAATGAGTATTAGTGATCACCATGCTATAAATTTATTATATATGCAATGAATATAACGCACAAGAACACATATTTGGGTAGCTGACATGAAATTTAGAAATTCAATGGTTCTTCTGCATGCAGTCGTTAATCTAAAATTATTAAAAGTTTTCATGAGAGACTACGGAATATTTGAACAGTAAAAACACTGCAGAACTTAAAAAAAGTGAATAAAAATAAAATAATTTAATAAAATATAATAATATAAAATGAGAAAGATATTTGCATCCCAAGATTTACATTTCCTATTATACACATTTTATACAAATGTAAATTAAGCAAGTCTTTATATAAAATACAATAACGTTTGATAAAGAAATGACATGAATTAAATATAAAAACATGGAGATATTAACTGAATATTCATAGAAGCAACGGAAACATACTTTACCAAATTAATGATATGCACTCAATGCATCTACTTTAACTTTATTTGTCAGAGAAATATCAAGAGTGAAGGCCAATGTGGTCCATATAATGGACATATTTATATCAAATATATATATGGACCCTTTTCAAATTTCTGGGGTTCTCAGAAGCAGAAATGGTCATAGTTGGGAAAAATTATGTAGCTGTGAATGGGAAAAGACAGCAAATATAATTTCTGTATTCGTTTAAATTCGTTTCTTTGTACTTTCCTGTCAAGGTAATAAATCTGTTATTATTATTTTTTTATGAAAATATGCAAAACTGTACAAGATTTGCTATGTTGAAAACTGTGGAAACGCATCATCACAGTCTGTGAAAAGGGTCCATTGTATTGCTATGTCCTTTTGGTCAGGATGAGCTAACACTATTGAAGCACTAAGCGGTTCTAAAGAACTAAAAGCTTTACCGTCAGTGGTAGTGTCCCAGTAACAAGAGTTGGCTGTGTGAAGACCTGCGCCGCTTTTCTGCATCACAGCACAGTTGACTGAAATATATACATAATATATAGAATCAACAACTGCACTTTGTATAATGTGTTTCAGCTTTGTGCAAAGATGATGTATAGCCTTATAAATATATTATCAGATTTCAGATCTATAACCTATTAAATATTTGTATACAAGATGAACTCAATCGGAAAGGCTCGTACCAATATACTTGAACGGTTTCCCCTGTTTCACTAACTGAGTGAGAGTGTGTTCGACTATGCTGGCTGTCCACTGGTTCACTTTGTTCTGGCTGTAGTCCACGCCTCCAATAATACCCTCAATGCACTGACCGATAAACACACACACACACACACACACACATAAAGAGAGAGAGAGAAAGAGTTAATGGAGCAGACTTGCACTCAAATAAATAGGCTAGCATTAATCCTGCAGGCATGAGTTAGACATGAGACTAACAACAATGCAATTCATTCAGTAAGAAAGGCTACACCATACTATAGGATGCTTAATGTTTTTGACAGTGAATATTACCTCCTTAACAACATTACTTGCTTCATCTGGGCTGAAAGACATCTGAAATTAGAGGTTTTGAAAGGTGAAAAGAGATGAACACACTGTCAAACTGGTTTAAAGAAGCATCCACAACATTATATTTAGTGACCAAAATGTACATTTTAGACATAAATGTTAGGGGAAAAAAGCTCAAAATGTTAAAAAATAATAGTTTATGAATACATAAAGTTAAATGTTGATATTTCAACGGTTTCCTTTATGATTCAAGCTGACGTTATGATTTGGCCACACCCTGAAGCATTTTCCATAAAAACGTACAACAAAAAGATGTAAATTATAAATCGAAATGATCTTTTAGTGATCTGTGTATATGTAAAATATGTAATGATGTCAAAATATGAGCGTTTAAGGATGATGGGGTGATATTATGTTTTTTTCCGGATGAATCGGTTAGCAGGCTAGCGGTAAAAGCCAGTCTAACGTTAACGCTACTGTTTACCATCTTTGAAAGCTTATACAGATAATAACCAGTTGCACCATGTAATGCCTTATAACACCTACTTCATCTCCAGAATGATACTCCTCCATCTTATCAGTTAGTTTTAAAACCAAAAATCTGGAGTCTGGACAACAAACTCTGCTCAGATGATTGTAGCTTTTCTCTCAGTGACAAGTAAAGCTGATGTTAGCAACATAATGGCGATTGAGTGCTGCCACCTACTGGCGCTCTCCGACTCAACATGTCCATCCATGATCCGTCCATCTATCCATCCATCCATCTATCCATCCATCCATCCATCCATCCATCCATCCATCCATCTATCCATCTATCTATCTATCTATCTATCTATCTATCTATCTATCTATCTATCTATCTATCTATCTATCTATCTATCTATCTATCTATCTATCTATCTATCTATCTATCTATCTATCTGTCTGTCTGTCTATCTATCTATACAGTGTTTATACTGTATTCGATCAAAAATACAATAAAAACAGTAATATTGTGAAATATTATTACAATTTAAATTAACTGGTTTCTGTTGTATTATATTTTAAAATGTAATTTATTCCTGTGTGTGTGATGGCAAAGCTGAATTTTCAGTGCCACATGATCCTTCAGAAATTCTAAGGTCATTTCTTCTTATTATCAATGTTGAAAACAGTTTTAATAAAAATTCTTTAATCATGATGCACTGCCATTCAAAAGTTATGTGTATTCAGCATATTAGAAAGATGTCTGAAAGATCATGTGTTTTTACTGTCTTTTTGATAAATGCAGCCATGGTGAGATTGAGACTACTTTCGAAAACATTTGACCGGTACTGTATATATAAAAAAGGAAGGGAGACAGTTTTAAGTTGATGTTTACTTGTATCACATCAAATACAAAGGTTGTTAGATGATTCTCACAAAAATGGACAAAAAAATTGTCACATTACCCTGAAATTTTAAATATATAAAGTGCACAGGTGCTTTGAAAGTCTTTCATCAAATGTAAATAAATAGGTATAAAAATGCACATACATATATAATTATATTTCTAGATATACGGCACATATTGGTAAATTTACTCCCCAGTAATGACTTTAAGAATGCCTTTGATAAAAAAGTTGTATAAATCAGACACTGCAAACATATAAAGGAAAAATACTATACAATGTAGTACCAAAACAAAACCATTATAGCTCACAACTATACTTAAATTAAAATTGGACTCCCTAACTCAGTTTTCAGTTAAAGGTAGTCATTTTCTGTGGTCTGCTTTGCAGCACAAGGCACAGTAACATGAACACCACCAACACCAACAGGATGTTGCGTTGTTAAATTTCGCTTCTACTTCCGGTTTTTGTTCCAGTCTCTTTTTTCAATTCAGAAGATGGTTCAGCATAAACAGCATGTCAAACCCAGCTGAAAGGTGTCAAAGCAGATTGCAAGTGGCTGAACGTGATCGACTGGATGCAGTGGTTGTGCCTCCGATCTGTGTTTGACTGCTAGAACTCTCCGGTCCTCGAGTCTCTGAGATCTGAGGTGGACCATCAGCTGCTGGTTTGCCTGAAGCGCTGCTCTCTGCTCGATTCCCTTTGGTGGGAGATCTCTTGAAAAGAGAAAGCTGAAGATAGGAAAGAAGAAACTGATCAAACAAAGGTTAAACTCTGATGTGCAAATATGTTATGCTATGCTGTTGTTCGAGTGTTATGCATGATTGTGAGGTGGTTGCTTACTAGTGTTTATTATAAAGATTAAAAGTTTCGAGTGGTTAAATACCCTGTTTCTAGAGCCGAAACGAGTTTTAGGTTTGTCTTCTGAAACTCCATTTCTCTCTGACTGTGTCTCCTCCTTTATAAGGGTAGCAGGATCAGAATCTTCAGAATTCACAAAAACAACAACAACAAAAGAGAAAGACAGAAAAAGCTGCTTAAAATCAATACATTTCATTTATGTTCACCAAGTTATATTATATTACAGGGCAATCACTTTCTACTTAACCATAGACATACTGCACCATAAAAATTAAAGATGACCGGGATATCAAAGGGCTCATCCCTTTCATTTAAATAGTTTATAGGTGCTTCTCAATACTCGAATTGATGCTTCCTCTTTTCCTCGCTCCTCCGTCCTCCAGCCCGTGACCTGGAAACTGACCGAACTCGGCCATCTTGACGGGCTTCTCAAATCTCTTGTTGCACTGTGAGAAGGCGAGGAAGAGGAGCGAGGAAGCTTCCTGAGGAGTCATGAGCGAGGATACACAGGTGTATCCTTCCCTCGCATCCTGAGGGGGTGGAGCTAAGACACGAGGAAAAGAAGCGAGGAAAGGAGTAATAATATAAATAATAATATAAAAAAAGGTAATTGTGAATTTTTTATCTCACAATTCGGACATTTGTCCTTGCAATTGTACATTGGGATTTTTTCCCCCTCAGAATTGCGAGTTTATATCTTTTATGGTGTTTTTCTCAGAATAGTGAGTTTACATCTCACAATTCGGACTTTTATTTCTCCGATTCCAGATTCTATCAATTCCATTTTTCGCAGAATTCTGCAGGTGCATGCGGTCAGGATAGGTGTCCAAAATTCTAAAGTAAAAAAAATAACAGAATTCAGAGAAAAAAAAAACCTCTGAGCGTCAAGATGTAAACTTATAATTTGAGAAAAAGGTCAGAATTGTGAGATATAAACTTGCAATTGTGAAAAACAGTAGCAACTTTTTTTTATATATTTTTATTCTGAGGTTTTTTTTTGGTTGGGGGGGTTCTTGGGGTCTGTATGGGAATATGAAAGGGTGCTGAAAAGAAAAAAACTCACCTTTTATCAGTCCATCAGGGACGGATGCCTCTTTTATAATCTGCTTTTTCTGTAGGAGTAAGAAAATGACATCACACAAACAAATCAAAGCAATAGAGCCGCACTAAAGCAGTGTGTTCGTACTAAATTAGTCTGAATGATATGAATGAAAGCTTTCAGGGCACCTGTATGTCTGGCTCTGGAGTGCTTTGCTCCTGCTCCTCTGTCTCTTTTCTCTTCTCGTCTAGAACATCTTCCTTCTCCTCACACTTTTCCCCTTCTTTTTCCTCTGGATGGTCTTCCTCATCATCATCATCTTCTTCTTCATCATCTAAATATTCTTCCTCCTCATCTTCTCCCTCCATCTTTCCATTGATCTCATCTGCCCGGAGCTGGAGAGATCGGTGGTGGTTGTGCAAAAAGTGAGAAAAGACAATCAGTGACTGGAATGAGTGACTGTGAAACACAAAAAGAGGGTTGAAGAAACTAGAATGGCAGGAGAGGGTTCAATGTGAGTCAGGTAGTCTTTTTCAATTTTAAAATTAACTAACAAACTACATGTATAAAGAAACACAAGTAGGTGGGTACATGACTAGGGATCTATTTAGGAGGACTAGAAAAGTACCAGCTCTACAGAGAGAGTGCAATATAAGGCCAGCCTCACCTGTCCAGTGAAGGATTTTCTGTTTTCTGCCTGATTGCAAAACTGCTTTGAATTTGGAGATATCTTATATGGCTTTCTTTATTTGCTTACAATTCAAATGAAAATTGGCTTATTATGGTGCTGAAACTCTCTAGTACAGCATGATAGATTTATATCATGTCGTTTTCTTTATGTAAAGCATACAAAATGTTAGCTTTAAAAGTCACAGTTTGGTAAATCTGTGCTTTTTATATATACATAAAATGCAATGCAATGTTACTAAATTGGAAAACAAGTATAAAACAACAGAGGGGTTAATTTTAAAACACATGCAAATAGTTCTAAATAAATGAAAAGTTTATTGGCTATTAAATGTAACAGAAAACTCACAGAACAAGCACAAGTGCAAAATTTGAACTAAATGCTACTTAATGATATTAAATATACAAATATTTTCTTAAGATCATGAGCTGCCATTTTACTTTACATTTTTTGTAAGAGTTCTGACTTAAAGGCATCTTTAAATGTGCCCTGTTTGTATTTGTAAGAATTTGAAGTCATTGATAGTGCTGATTCAAGGTCATTGGCAAATCAAGCACACTTGTTAGTAAACGAACATGGCTGTCCACCAGATACATATGTCCTAAGGCACATCATGAGGTCTTCATTACTGCATGAGCATATCATTACTTATGAAAACATAAATAAATAAATAAATAAAAAATAAATGGAAAGCAATACATTTAATAAAAATGTCATGGGCGAAATTGCAAGAATAATAATGGCGAAATAAAAATATTGAAAATATATATCACAAAAGCAAGAAGGAAGAAAAAACATAAAAGGCATGTACATAATACTCAGTAAAAGCAGATAGAGGTTGTTGAATTATTTTAAATTGAGGTATTGAGGAAGAACATCCTCCCAGAACTGCTGAGACTCCTGGGACTCGTCGTCTGACTGCTGGCGTTTGGCTTTTGTCGGCTGTTTTGTTGTTTTCACACTTGACTTTTGTTTGGTGGATTCAGAGGCTTTTTCACGTTTTCTTTTGGCTTTGGCTTTTTCTTCTTCCTCCTCCTCCTCTTGTTCCTCTTCCTCCTCTTGCTCTTCTTGTTTGTCCTCCTCTTCTCCCTCCTCATCCTCTGCTTCTTCTGCCTCCTCTTTTTCTTCAGACTCTTCCTCCTCTGCTTCCTCTTCCGCTTCTTCATTGCCTTCCTCCTCACCATTACTTTCTTCTTCCTCCTCTTCGTCTTTGCTCTCCTGCTCTTCTTCCTCTTCATCTTTGCTCTCCTGCTCTTCTTCCTCTTTGCTCTCCTGCTCTTCTTCCTCTTCATCTGTGCTCTCCTGCTCTTCTTCCTCTTCGCTCTCCTGCTCTTCTTCCTCTTCATCTTTGCTCTCCTGCTCTTCTTCCTCTTCGCTCTCCTGCTCTTCTTCACCTTCGTCATTGCTCTCCTGCTCTTCTTCCTCTTCATTTTCACTCTCTTCTTCTTCCTCTTCCTCATCATTCTGACTCATTGCTTCCTCTTCATTGCTTTCACCCTCTTCTTCATCAACTTTAACTTTCTCACTCTCCTCCTCTGCTTCACTCTCACTCTCCCCTTCAGTCTCACTTTCCTGCTTTTCTGAATCGTCCTCCTCTTCTTCACTTGTCTTTTCACCATCGTCATCCCCTTCATCTTCAGACTCGCTCTCCAGCTTTTCAGAATCTTCCTTTTCTTCACTAGTCTTTTCACTATCTTCATCTTCCTCTGCACTATCCTCCTCTGCACTGTCACTTTCCACATCATTTTCTTCCTCATCCTCACTATCTTTCACCTCTGACTCCTCATTCTCTTCATCTGATTCTTCCTTTGAGCTCTCATTTTTGCTCTCTGTCTCTTCCTCTTTGCTTGTTTTGCTTTCGTCCTGTTCATCTCTACTCTCCTCTTCGCTTTTTTTACTTATCTCACTTGTTTCTTCTTCCTTGTCTTCTATTCTATCACTCTCCCCTTCCTCAGCCTCACTCTCTACATCCTCAGTTGCCTCGCTTTTACTTTTATCCTCCTCTTCCTCGCTTTCCTCATCCTCACTAGAACCTTTGGTCGTTGTATCACCGTCAACCTCAAAATCATCATCGTCTGCTACCTTGTCAAGGGTCTTGCCCTCACTTTCCTCCTCACTGTCATCCACTTCCTCACTCTCATCCCTTCTGTTCACCAACGCCTTGCTTTCCTCCTCTTCCTCCTCATCTGATTCCTCCTCGCTTCTTTTATATGTTCCCACCTCAGAATGAGCCTCGGTTTTGGACTCAATGCTGCTTCTTTCCAAGTCCCCGTCTGAAGTTCCTGATTCTGTCCTCATGTTGATGGTGACAGCCGTCCTCTTGGCTTCTCTAGTCTCCTCCTGTCTCGAAACCTCTTCGGACTCACTCAGGGACGAAACATCAGATAGAGTTCTTTGTTTTGAAGGAGGTTTTGGCATATTTTGGGGTGTGGACTGGGAAAGGAACTGACTGACTGCTGATGCTCCAAGTAAACAAGCAGGACTTCCCATTCCCACATCTTGGAGAAAAGATGTCACCTTGATGAGAGGATTTTCCTTAATTTGCTCAGCTTCTGACGCCGATTCAGATTTGGAGGCAGCTTCGGACACAATGGTAGGCCCCTTTTTTGTGTTTTTCAACTTGTCTTCTACTAGCAATTGGCTTTGTTCTGCTCTTGATTTCTTTGTCTTCTTTGTAGAAACATCTTCTTGGCATGAGGATTGTTGTGAAGTTGTGGAGATCTCTTGTATTGTCTTGTTACTTTTTGAGTCTTTTTTTGAATCTGACTTTTTACTCTGTGGGACAAAAGTTTTGTTTTCTGTCTTAGCAGCATTCGTTTCACCTTTCACCCTCTGAGCTTTTGGTAAATCATCTTTTGAGATCTTCTTACCTGTTGGGTCTTGGTCCTTATGTGTGGTCTGTTCAAGATGATGTTCAACAACAATTATGGGTTTCATTTTTACTTCCTTTTCTTTCCCCACAAATGTTTGAGGCTGGCTTCTGACTTCCAATGGACGATCTTTGGGTTTTGCTTTACCTATTCCCTCTTGGTTTGGTTTTGTACTTCCTTTTGATTTTTGAGCAACCTTCTCGCTTTCAGCCTCTTGATTTGGTTTGGCTTTTCCAGTTGAATCTTTTGTAACTTTTTCCATTGACTTCATCAATTCTGTGTGCTTGGGCAGGTAGGATTTGGATCCAGTTCTGCTTATGTCTGACCCCAATCTGGTTTTACTTCCACCAGCTTGGTGATATGCAGGCTTTCTGTTCTCCAAAGCGATAAGTACATTTTCCTTATCATGACCATGTCTCTTAGGGCACTTCTGGGGTGTCCCTGACCCAAGACTGTCCTCGACTACTGAGCTACCACTTGAGCTTCTAAGTAACTCAGTGGGAAGAGCTTTGCGAGCTGAAAGCTCCACCCTCTTACTATAAGGGGCGTGGCCATCACTATGCTTTCCCTTCTCCTTACCGTGCACAACCTTAACCTTCTTCTATTCCAGGAAGCAGAGGATAAAAAGAAGGAAAGTGTTAGAGAAATGAATGAACATGCAGAGCAGGCTGAACGAGAGCAGAATGAGCTTTAAGGCTGCAAAGCAAATGAGAATGAGTCAATGAAGAGAAGACAGAGAACACAAGCATAAGGGGGAGGTCTAAATGAGTGCAGCACTTTGAAAAAATGTACAATTTGTTTCTCCACAACCTTTGTTTGGCCATAGAAATAGCTAATTTCTTGGACAACAACCTAGATGAGCTCTTACCTTCTCCATAGGAGACAATGTGAGGGTCTTATCGCTAGGGTCCAACTTAATTATGTGAGTCTGAAAACAAAGAAACTTTTGCATTAGTCTTAGAAGATTTTATACCAGCGGTTCTCAACTGGTTTTTCTACATGACCCAGATTTTACATCAAATGGCAAACCAAGACAGTACCAAATGTAACCTGTAGTCTGTGTCATTTTTGCTTTTAAAAGTGGATTTCAACCAAATCATTAAATGTCTACTTCTACGTATTTTCTATAGATATTATAAAAGCATGCATGCCTCTTTCATAAGTGATGGTATGCTTCTCCTACCAGGTTTAATAAGTCAGTGGTTTCTCCAAGGTCTTTTACGCTCTCACTATCCTCCACACTGCTTCTGTCATCGAGAGATTTCTCTCTCTTTCCAGGAACTTATTGAGAGAGAGAGAGAGAGAGAGAGAGAGAGAGAGAGAGAGAGAGAGAGAGAGAGAGAGAGATAATCCATAAAAACCTGAGCATAATATACACTACAGTTCAAAAGTTTGGTATTGGTTAGATTTTAAAAAATGCTTTCGAAAGATGCCTCACCAAGGCTGCATTTATTTGATAAAAGATACAGTAAAACAGTCAAATTGTGAAATATTATTACAATTTAAAAGAAGTGAATTTCTTTTAAAATGTCATTCATTCGTGTTATGGCAAAGCTGAATTTTCAGCATCATTACTCCAGTCTTCAGTGTCACATGATCATTCAGAAAACATTCTAATAAGCTAATTTGCTGCTTAAGAAACATTTATTATTATTATCAATGTTGAAATCAGTTGTACTGCTTAAGGATTCTGAATAGAAAGTTCAAAAGAGCCGCATTTTTTAAAATAGAAATCTTTTGTAATAATGCAAATGTCTTTACTGACATTTTTGATCAATTGAATGTATTTGAAATAAATTGAAATAAAGTATTAATTTATTTAATCATACTGATTCTAAACTTTTTAACAGTAGTGTAAATGAAAATAAATGTGTGCTTTTTGATTGAATGATGTCTTTTTATAAGTGGCAATAGCATTTGTGAATGAGGAACTTGTTTTCCTGTGATTTGAAATAACAGATATTGATTTTTAATACTTCAGTTTTTTGACGAGGCAGTTACTTTTGAGGCTGTTGTGAGGGATCTTTCCAGGTTGGTTACTTTGGGAGTGACGGATCTGGCTGGGAACAGATAGAGATGCACTCAGATGATGTCCACCCAGAGCTGGGAGTGTTCGAAACATTTGTCCAAACTGATCTGGTGAACGCTCCTGCAGAAGAAAAGCAACACACATTGCATCCATATTTAATTAGTTTATATAATTGTTTAGGTAATATATTATACTAAACCTTACCATAAAATTGTATTATTCATCTTGAATTACACTTCCACTAGTCAAATTGATAATCAGTTGCACTAATTTGGATCCATTGGGATTGACCTACCCGTTCTCTGCGTCTGACCCGAGCCGAGAGACTCCTGTTTAGGGTGTCCCCCAGTAGTTCAGTACAGGACTTGTCAAAGTAGTCTTCTGTGATGTCATCCTCCTCCAGGATCAAATCCTCCGACCTTTCAGCCCTGGGCTTTGCCAACACAAGCATGTGACACCCACCACAAGTAACCTGAAAGCACACACACTGTTTACAGATGCCATGAAATCAAAATAGAATTTTGTGGCTTTTAGTCAATATTGTTCAATATGAAATGACAATACACACTTTTAGCAGATTAATACATTTAGACTACCATTAAAAAAATTGCAGCCGGTAAGATTTTTTAACGTTTTTTAAATGTATTATGCTCACCAAGGCTATATTTATTTTATAAAAAAAAATACATTACAAATATTGTGAAATATTTTTACAATTTAAAATAACTGTTTTCTATTATAATATATTCCAAAATCGAATTTATTCTTGTAATGGCAAAGCTTAATTTTCAGCAGCTCTAGTCTTCAGTGTCACATGATCCTTCAGAAATCATTATAATATGCTGATTTAGAGCTCAGTAGATATTTCTTATTATTATCTGCATTATTTGAACTATTTTTTGTAAGTCTTTACTGACACTTTTGATCAAGTGAATGTATTCTTGCTGATATATATATATATATATATATATTACTGACCCAAAAGTTTTTCTCTGCTGTAAAAAATGGACCAAAAATATGTATGCTCAGGAGGAAAAACAAATGTTGTTTTGCAATAAAAATAAAACAAATAAATAAAATGTTCTCTCTATTATTAGAAATAAAATTAGAGAATGAAAGCAATAAAACAGGGCAAGTACTTTGATATGTCCAGACCTTCCTGTTTCAAAAGAAAATGGGGTCAACAGGGTAATGAAAATTATATTGGTCAAACAATTTCAAAGCAGAAATTGAACAGTATATACCTGATAGAAATAAAATGTATTATATATTGTGTCATAAACAGTAGATGGGCAGTAATACGTACAGAATGTACATGGCAGTTGAGGAATCTCGTACACAGGGTCGGTCTGAACTGGTTGGTGAAATTTTCTTCTCCAAGTCCCAGTTTTCCATGCCGACCATCACCAAAGGTGTACAAAAGGCCGCTGTCTGAAACACATATACAAACAGAATCGTATATATTTAGAGGAAAGACACAAAGAGGAAATTAAATCACAACACATAAAAGGATGTTGTCATGTGGATGTGTGTTTTACCAGTAATCAACGCTGTATGGTTCTCTCCACAGTCCACATGTTTAACTCTGCCCCTCCTGAAATGCTCAACCACTCTGGGTAAACGAGACTCAAATATGAATGTGCCATGGCCAAGCTGTCCAAACTGACCCAGGCCAAACGAATACACCTTGTGCTCTGCATTACCAGACATGTGTGACATTTAGTCTTCACAAAGAAGAAACACAGACAAACAAACAACAACCACAAAGAAAAAGATGTTCTCCTACCAGTAAGCGCCACCGTGTGCCCTCCTCCACAGGACACCTTTACCACCTTATCAGAGATGCCGGTCACCTGTTGAGGCACTTTATGATTGGCCAGCTTCTCTGTGGACAAGCCCAGCTTTCCACTGTCTTTTTCTCCGAATGTGAACAAGGCCCCATCCACTGCAACAAATGAAACAAGCATCACCTAGCAACAATCCAGCCTTCATAGAAGGTCAAATAATGAACATTTTATGAATTCAATGCCACCACACTATGCTCTATAGATCATGGAGAGGAAGTAGGAAAGTCATCATGAATTGTCAAAAAGTGGGGATTTAAAATGAGGATATTCCAATGTAACACAGTTGAACACAATTCTTAAATCATTTTGATTCATTGATTAAATATATCAAGTATTATTTATAAAATAATAGTAATATTATGCCATTATTTTAAATTGTTTTGAAATTATTAATTTAATGTAACTTATTGTAAATGTATGTATTGAAATAGCATTATTATATGTAACTAACTAGCATAATTCACTATAATAAAAAATGGGTAAGATTTCTTTTTTTTAATTTAAAAATATTTCATAATCACTTACTTGATGAGTTTTCTTTTTTAATATATTTTCAAATATAATTTATTCCTGTGATGGTAAAAGCTGAATTTTCAGCATAATTACTCCAGTCTTCAGTGTCACATGATCCTTCAGAAATCATTCTAATATGCTGATATGTTGTGCATTTTTTTCCAGGATTTTTTGATTAATAGAACAGCAGTTTAATGCATCCTTGCTGAATAAAAGTATTTTTATTTTTCCTTAAAATATTTGTACTGACCTTAAACTTTTGAGTGCAAACTTAAAAAGCAAACTTTTTACTATTTATGAGTAAAATAGTATAATATTATAAATATATATTAAAAAAGATATATATACATGATTAACTAAAACATGTGAATGTTGAGCATAGAGTTAAACATGTATTTAACCCTGAATATTTTGGTATAATTGGCCGTAGTGACATGAAGTAATACTGTCTACAGTGGCATACATACCGGTAACAAAGGCAGAATGATAATATCCACAGGAGACCCATGACACTCGTTTCCCCACAGAAACCTCATGAGGAGTGAGTGCGTTACTCTCCTTTCCTAACCCAATCTGACCCTCGGAGTTATCGCCCCACATATAGAGCCTGCCATCCTCTGAGATGACACAGAGATTTTGTTACTTTACTGGTAATATTTGCCGTTAGATGTTATGTATGTCATATTTGCCGTTACATGTTTTGTCAACAGACACTGCTGCACTGTAAGGCAGATGGAACAGAACTCTTACGCGTCAGGACAGCAGATGTATTGGAACCAGCAGCGAGCATTTTGATTGGCCCATGTTTGCTGAAGAAGTCCACCAGGTGGAAGGAGGTTCTGTCATCGCAGTCACCAAGACCAAGCTGTCCTTCATTATTCCCTCCAGAGGCATACAGGTTACCACGGGCTGCTCAGCAAAGAAAACAAGTTTTTTAGTTGAGGATAAATCTATAATGTTGCAAATAGTTATCTATAGTGCTATAAAGACATTTGGGGTCAGTGACACTGAAGACTGTAATGATGCTAAAAATATAGCTTTTGTGACCACAGGTCAGGAACAAATATACATTTCAAATATATTACAATAGAAAAAAAAATATTTTGAACTAAAATAATATATCACAATATTAATGTTCAAAAACATTTAAAAAATGTCTTATTGTCCCCCAAATTTTGAATGGTAGTGTACATTAAATTTTTTTTTCTTCATGTTTTGGCCTTTGCAAATATTGAGATATCATCAGAATGCTAGCCTTACACGTAATAGCCTTACATGTTCTGATCGTTTGTCTTTAAGGTTATGTGTGTAATTTTTTCAATGTTAAACATTTTCTTATCCCCGTTTAATTCGCAGAGACAAGTATAAATTCCCAAAGAGTTCCCACTGTGTTTCCCTGTAGCCCTTTCAAAACATTGCTGGTTGTTTCAGTGGTTTTGCATGGCAATTTCTGGCTTGACTAATGGAATAAGTAAATAAATAAGAATATGTGAATAATTAAGGTAACAGAAAATTAAGGAAAACAAATGTCATGTGATTGATTTACTAGACTCAAAAAACATAAAGCAAATATGATGAATAAACTTACATGTATAAACAAGTGAGTGAGTTCTTCCACAGGCTGCGAGCTTCACACTTTCAGATTTTAGGGCTTTAAGAAAACAAATACGGTCATTGCATGTCAGAAACATGTTGACTATACGATTTATTCTTACTAAACACAATTATACAACCTGAATATATATATAGATATACATATATATATATTAATATATCAAGCTAATTTGTTAAAATGTTGTACTCCTGAACACACTTCCCCTCTGCTTTCCAGATTAATGCAGATTACGGACCACTCCAGATTGGGATTAAGACAATCTTTGGCTTTGTCCAGAAAATATCTCCTTTTTCTTACAGCTACTTACAAACATGTAATTGTGTGTGTCAGACTATTACTGCTGAATATTTCAAAGTCACTCTACTGATAAACTATATTGATAAACTAATGATATATTTTCCAAACAGCTAAATGTGACTGACAGCATTGGAGAATGTGTTGAAGTGATGTATCAGCTGTGGATGGCTGAAAACACTCAGCACTGCTCTCTCTTTGACTATGACAGGTGGTTTGCGTAACAAACTAGCCCAATCACGTTCCGGGCGGTATAAAATCGATTCAACCCGGGGCAACAGTGTAAAAGTAGCCCAATTCCACGGGAAAACACTGACACTGAAAGTCGTACCTTTTACACAAGTGGGTTTATTCACAGTGGTCTTTGTTCCGAGGCCCAGCTGTCCCCAGTTATTGCTGCCAAACATAAACAGCTTACCATTTTCTAAACACAATAGGAATAGTGACAGGATGAATGCAAAAAATTACGGAACAAGACTTTATTTACCAATATATCCACTAATAAAATCATAAATCATACCTGTTACTAGTGCAGTGTGCTCATCTCCACAGGAAATTCTCAAAGGTACATCATTTTTTAACCAGAATTTACTGGGGGCATTATCTGCAAATTTACTCTTTCCAAAAGTGAAGACAGCTCCGGATTCTAAAACAAAAATTGAAAAATAGAACAATAGCAAATGCAGACAATTTTCATGTTATGCCTTAAATTATTCAAATGACTGCTGTTATGAAAAACAAGCTGAATTAGACTATATTATGTTGTAAACAAATAATAGTTTGTATGATTTTAATTCGCAGTTTCTGTTTCTCTGTATATATATATATATATATACACACAATCAGATGGTTAAAATTAGTTGTTTACTTTATAGAAAAATATTACAGAATTGAGAGCGAGAGGCGTGACCACATGGCGTGGTTGCCTTGGCTACAGGAAGCCACAGGAGTCAATGAAAGAGCGGGACAGAGTGTTCAATGAAATAAAAAAAACACAACGAACAATTATATGTATAAACACAGAGAAATATAATATTTGCAGGGCATTAAAGCAGGAAAGGCATATTTAAACCAGTATAACATATGATTCGCTTCCACTATGTAGCACCGTTTTATTATAGCCTATAGGCTAATCATAAACAGACAATAAGCCTAAAGAGACACACTTGTAGCAACTGCAAATAACAAAACTGTTTACATCGACCACTAATGTACTACATAATATTTTACCAGGGATCTCATCTTCTGTCTCTCCGGCCATCTCCCCCAACTAATCAGCTTATTTACGCTGGGCTCTTGGTAGTGTGACCAAGAAGTTTCTAAAACGACAGAAACTTTCCGCTCTAGATTTGCTTCCGCGTTGAGGTGTCACGTGTTACTCATTAGCTGTGCCACTGCCAACTACAGTAACTTGATGCGACATTTAGATTATGTATATTTATAGGTACATTATTTTATATACTTTTATAGTAACTTAAATAATTGCAAATAATAAATTATTACTGTATACATAAGATAAACACACATAAACGTTATATTAAACAATCGTGAGGAAAAGGTAATGAGAACATATCTGCACAACTATGTTTATCTTTATCTGTATATCTTGTCTAATAAAGTCACAAATATTCAATAATAATAATTCGCAGGAAATTTCACTGTCTGTAGTGAAAATAGAATGTACTTTGTTATGCTTTCGAGTGGCTTTCACAGTCTTTTCCATTTTACAGTGGAGTGGCTACACGGCGAAGAACACGGCTACACGGCACGCCTCTTCCGGTTCAGTCTGTAAACAGTGATCTCATCCCTAATCTTGCTCCGTCTGTCTTTAGTAGAATCTCACAGCATGTGCGGCGCGCTGTCTTCAGAGAAATGACCGTGAAAACAAATGTATTTTTCTCGTTACCTTACCATCCGCCCGCTCTTTTGACATAATGACGAGTAGATGGGGGTCACTGAGTTAGCCTGGAGCATGCTAGCATGCTAATTAGCCTGTAAAGGGGGCATACAAGCAGCTGCCTGGTGCAAGCTCTGTTAAAGCTGCTTTAAAGTGTTTTTCACCGGGTTTTCTGCTTGGGGAATAATGGAAGGAGTGCTTTACAAATGGACAAACTATATGACAGGTAAAAGCGAATGGCACTGTGGACACTTGAGTTGCAGTCACACAGGACACTGCAAATATGCACAAGATGTACTCAGTGTGTATGATTATGTCTGTATACGATAGAGAGCTGCTAATATATGCAACTTTGTTATATTGCGTTTTTTTTAATTGCTTCTTTTCTTATACGCTGTGTCTTTAAGGTGTTTTTGAATGTCAAAGCTCCATGTTAAGTTATAGTAGCCTAATATACCAAATATGTCATTTGTCAATTTTCTTTTCCTGTCATGTGATGGTATGATACCTGATTGTATGGAGTAACAAGACTAGTCATAAATCTCAAGTTTAGAATATTCAGAAATGCCATGTTTTGTTTGATTTAAATGTGTTTTTTTAATCTGATAATAATGTTTTATGAAAGGATGGCAGCCAAGGTGGTTTGTGCTGGACAATGGCATTATTTCATACTATGATTCAGAAGATGACGTGTGCAAAGGCAGCAAAGGCAGTATTAAGATGTCAGTATGTGAAATTAAAGGTGAGATGATTGTGTATCTTATCAGCAAAATCTTCCTTCTATTCCTTACGAGAAAATAAACTGGTTATTCTTATGTTTTTACTTTTTACATTTTTTTACTTCCTCATGTTTGCTCCAGTTCACCCAACGGACAACACCCGTCTGGAGCTGATCATACCAGGGGAGCAGCATTTTTACGTGAAGGCTGTAAATGCAGCGGAGAGGCAGAAGTGGCTGGTGGCTCTGGGGAGCTCCAAAGCTGGACTCATTGACACTAGAACCAAAAAAGAAAGGGGTAGGCTTCCCTGAACATTTTCTCATCTTTTTATATCATTATCTTTTATTATTCCCTCATGCCTTCTCATAGCAAAAGACTCAACTCACAATAAATGATTGGTACCACTTTATAATAATTAAAATAAACCAACGTTTTCATGTTCATGAATAATATATATTTTTAAATATTTGGTTAAAAAACGTTATTACATTTTAATGTGGAATATGTTGTCATTTACTTCTATAATTATAATAACAGTTATTTTATCAGACTTTAATCATACTAATAAATAAAACATGATTAAAATAAATAATGACAGCAATGATAATAATTACTATTAATTTTATAAATATTGTATATAAAATAATTATTAAATGCCCAAAATAATAATTAACATTGTTTTATTATTATTATGATTATGATTTATGAAATGAATATTAGATAAATCTTAGCTAATTTATACATACAATATATACACTATAAGTTAAATTCACTCATATTTCTTACAAATATTGTATCATCATTATATTTTTTTAATATAATGGTATTCTGACATAGTGATTTGAATAATTAGAATACATTTTACTTGATATAGATATATATATATATCTATGTGTGTGTGTGTGTGTGTGTATACTGTTATACTGTATATACTGTTATTTTAGATGCAATTAATTGTTTTGGCAGTACTAAAGCCCAATTTATACTTCTGCGTGTAGCGCGCGTACCCTGACGTACACCTCTCCAAAAATGTAACAACGCGTCAATTCTGCGCGTACTGCAAGCGCTGTGATTGGTCTGCTAGAGCCGCTTCCCAGGTTTCACATGCTCCCTCTGCATGTGTAATTACGCGTCAAAGCGTGATTACACAGAAGTATAAATGAAAACCAACCCGTAGTCTATAGCGTAGAGGCTCTGGCGTAGGTCCGAAGCAGAAGTATAAATCAGCCTTAATACACACACACATTCAGATCAGAGACAAAAGACAAAATTAATGTTTCCTAGTTGAACACCAGTAATCCCGACTGCTAAGCAATAAGAAGGGCCATTAACAGTTGCACTTCCTCTCCTAATGGGTTTTTGCAGATTTAACAGAAACCACAGAATCACTGAAAACCAAGATGTCGGAGCTGCGTCTGTACTGTGACTTACTAATGCAGCAGGTGCACACTATTCAGGAGTCTGTGGAACAGGAAGGAGAATCTACTGTGGCCAGCACTGAGGTTAGACACTCACTCAGCTGTTTTTTCATTCGAACCACAGTAATCACAGCAATTATTGCAGATAGGGGGATCTGATATAAAAAAAGGTTATCATAGAAATCTAGTCTTTTAAACCAAACGGTTGTATTTTCTGCTATATTTCCCAGACAAGGAATGAGGCATCCTCATTACTGAGTGCCACCTGTGAAACCTTCATCAAAACACTGGAAGAATGTATGAAAATCGCCAATTCCAAGTTCCAGACTGACATGTTGCAATCCAGTCCATCTGATTCCATAATGTCCCCTGTGTCCCCCTCTCCCGTCCAGATGTCTCGGGTAAAGACACAAGCACAAACCACATACAGTTTACCTTCATTTTATCAGTTAAAGTGCAGTAAGCAATTTCTGAGAATCATTGTTGAACACTGTTCATATTTGAAATCAACCTAAACAAACACACACCTCCCTTCATTTCTCTGCCCCCAAAATGCACAAACACGCAATGCAAGAGTGGATGTCTCTTTATCATAGCTGAAGCGAAGTACAATAAAGCTTTGCGAAAAATAAAGCAAAGATGGCCAACAAAAAATAAACATACAGTACACGAGTATATACAAGCAATAGTTTGTTGTTAGTCGACAGCAGCACACAAAACTCAAAACCAATGTTACTCACGTATGGAGCAGAAATAACACAACCTCGGTGTCCGCTTTCCACTTAGGTCTCTCCAGTGCTGGAAAGCTTTTCTAATATTAACGCAGGTCCTAAAGCTCTTGCCTGATCATGACCCTTCTTTTCCCAGTGATATTCTTATGAGCTTTTCTCTTTTGTAATGTCTCTCAGCCATCTCTCCTTTTACAGTCTCCCTTCAAATCTCCCTCTTGTAGTAGTAGTAAAATCTTTATTTGTCCCTTTACAGGGCAATTTAAGTAGCTTCAACCTCACAAACATTCAAATTTTTATAAAACCGAAAACAGCAAAACATCACAAAACCTTTACGAAAAAACATCACAAACCCCGGGCATTTATAATAATTCTTCATATAGCTACTATTTAAAATTCACGGTACCTTTATCTTTGTTTCAAATAAGTAACTGCGTTTGAAACAAAAGACCTAGAAAATGGAACGGTCCTCCACTTGGGCACTCTATATCGCTTTCCTGAGGGAAGCAATTCAAATTCTAAAAACAAAATGTGGGATGTATCCTCTAGGATAGTCAAAGACTTCTTAAGAACATTTCTCTCACACAGAGCAGACAAACTCTCGCGCTCACTCTCTCTCCTCCCCCATCATGAGTGAACACGCCCCCTACTGCTGATTGGCTACAAGTCTGTTGTGGTGCTCGGTCCTATCCACTTTCCACAGCATTTTCAGAAATTGCTTACTGTGCCTTTAAATTAAGCACATTTTCTCATATAATTAAATCTTTGCCTATTTAATAATTGATATTTTTTCACATTAATGTAATGAAAATATGTTTTGCATCACAGTAATGAGAACTGGAAGGAAATATGCCTTAACTAAATGGAAAATTTATGGAAAATAAATTACTAAATTTTAAATTTTGGGGTGAAATATGACTTGGGCATATGCTTTTCTCACCCATAGTATTAGTATTATTTATATATTATAGCATTTATCAATCATTTGAATTTATCATGTATTGTTATTTATATATATATATATATATATATATTCTATTAACTTTAATTTATTTTATTTTTTGTAATTTTTGTACTTCAGCTTATTTTATTTCAGCTAGTTGGCACGATAATGTTTCTAGTTTTCGTTTTTCATGTAATATTTGTATATTATTTTATTTCAGTTAATGAAATAGTTTTGGTTAGTCCGTTTTAGTTAACCATAACACCACTGGTCTGGCATGTGATCGTTCATAAATTTGAAGTCTAACATTTTTTTTATTCTTATTGTGTAGATGAAGCGGTCGATCAGCCATCCCGGCACCTACAATTATGAAAGGTACACAATGTTTACAAAACACACAGACTTCTTGTTTTCAGTCCAGACAGCTTTCTGAGTGGCTATAAATGCAGGTGCTGTTTTCCTTCAAGGTCGAGCTTGCCAAAAGAGTGCATGGCATTGCAGAAGTCCACCCAGAGGCGGACGCGGACATGCTCCGATACAGAAGCTCACAGCGACAGAGGGGCCGAGGATATGGAGCGTGAGTCTCACACACACACACACGCACACAGATCAGATTCAAGGTCTGAGTCACCTAAATGTTTAGCTTGCTCCAAATTTTGTTGCTTAATAAATTATTATTGTTGTGGCCCTAAAAAAAATCTGCAGTAACATAAACAAAAGTGATGACTTCACCTCTTGTGTTTTTCACAGGCTTGATGTTTCACAGAGCCAACATCAATGGTGACTCCACTCCGAGTATCCCTGAAGAGGTTGGAACGAGCACAAAGTTCCTGTCGGAAACTGACACTCCGGAATCTGACCTTTCCCTCTGAACCATGCGAGACAGATTATGAGATGGGGAATAAAAGGAAAACACGTACTGCTATGCAGTCAAAGATTGCAGCATTGTATAGAGGGATTTTACTTCTAGTGTTGTATTTCTTGATGATGAAGAATTCGGCGGCACTTTATAAAAACAGATGATGAAGAAAACAGTCTGATTTGAATGTTTATACTCTTCCAGGTATTTTAAGAAATTCGTTTGCCTTGATGCTAAGATGTTTTTCCTTTTTTTGTGATACATAATTATTACTGTATCCCTTCAGTGAAGAGTTGAAGATGTTTGTACTGGATTTTTAACGTGTTGTGCAGTTGCCTTTGTTAAATGGGAACCTTGCTGAAAAGGTTTTTGTTACTGTGCCAAGGGGTTGTGCGTACGTGCTCACATTAACTTCAAAGATTTGTTTTTTTTTATTCACTCGGCATGCAGTGTTGTTCATTCGTTTATGATGCAGAATACATTTATTTATTTTTGTATGTCACTAGAGTCTCCCCCTCCCCCCCCCCCCCCCCAAAAACATTTTTTGGCCTTAATTCTTCACATGGAGGAATTTGATCTATTAATTATTGTAATGTTTGGTAAAATTATTAAAAAGATTTAGCAAGATTATTAATTATTTTATCTCCAAAAATATAAATGGGTCTGGTTACACTTTACAATAAGGTCCCATTAGTTAACGTTAAAGCATTAACTAACAATGAGCAATACATATGTTACAGTATTTATTATTCTTTGTTGATGTTAGTTAATACAAAATACAGCTGTTCATTGTTAGTTCATGTTAGCTCAGGTCCATTAAATAATATTAACAGATACCACTTTTTATTTAAACATTGTAAATGTCGAAATTAACAAACTATAATTAATGTGTCTTTTTTCACTGTTCATGTTAATTAATGCAGTTGATCAATGTTAACAAATGGTACCTAATTGTAAAGTGGATTTCATAAGTATGAATTGTTGTTTTTTAAAATATTATCTGTAATCATGTTTTCCTCAAACACAGAGGCAAATAGAATTAATAATACATAAGAAACATTTTCATGCAGTCATGTTTTTATTTGAGAGAAAAAGAGAGATCACATGGTGTTGAATGACATTGAATAATTAGTTCCCATGTTACCTAACAGACGGCAGATCCCTGTACAGCAGCAGTATGTTTATCTACCTCTGGTCATCTGTGTTTGCCATCTGATTTCCACATGAAAACAGTCTATAATAAGTGATTAATTTCTCCAGAGGGAGATTAGCTTTCTCAGCGGAGAGGTTCTACTGCCGGCCATCACCAGCGGGCAGCCAGCAGGTGCAAATGAGCACTGGGAATCAGCATGAAGACTTGCTTTTCCCAAATGATAAATCTGTATCAACAAAGCAGAAATCCCCTGCTGTTTCTTGAAGAGTTGTGAAAAACAGTCATTATAAACTACACTACAGAGCATGTGGTACTGCCTGTTTTGGGTTACGGCTGTTAATTTGTGGCGCTGGGCCCTCTGAACGGCAGGCTTGAAATTCAATCTTCTTAAAACTTGGTGATATTGGACTAAAGTATCGAGCAGAACTTAGTATTAATGCTGTCTGAATGAAGACCATTGTGTAGATGTTTAAAGTCAGTGGGGATGTCGTACGCTGGTGTGACATCGAACTGAATTAAATGATCAGGGGAGATTTGACTGGATCCTGACTGGAGAGATGATGATGCATGACTTTTTTCACTCTCAACCTTTTCCTCCATTTTTTTGTCCTCTTTCTGCACATAATTTGCATCTTCATGGCTTTCCTCTGTGCAAATGACAGTTTGAACAAAAGCATGCATGTAAATACACTGCTTAAATATTAAGCAGCACAACTGTTTTCAACATTGATAATAATAAGAAATGTTTCTGAGCAGCAAATCAGCATATTAGAATGATTTCTGAAGGATCATGTGACACTGAAGACTGGAGTAATGATGCTGAAAATTCAGCTTTGCATCACATGAATAAATTGCATTTTAAAATATATTCAAATCGAAAACAGTTAGTTGAAATCGTAATAATATTTCACAATATTACTGTTTTTACTATATCTTTAATTAAATAAATGCAGCCTTGGTGAATCTTTTGAACAATATTTTGCAATATGTAACTGGGTCTTCTCCACCAAAAGGCCTTAAAAAGACTTCTGTGATGAGTTAATGTACTGTAATATTAAAAATATATTTTAAAAAAACCCAGGTCTTAGACTAACCCTAACCCTAAAATCGGGCAGGATGATTGGAACGTGTCGAAATGAACAACATGTCCTACTTTAGTGAATGGAAGGCCAATGGGTCAAAAGAAGGTGAAACAAAGCCATTACTGAGGTCAAATAACTCCAATAAAAACATATGTTATGTTAGTTTTGACAGTTTCCTCACCCTTCGAGTCATCTGTCACGACCTCTGTGTCTTCCTGGTACACGCACGTCTCTCCGTCGACCAAACCCATGATCTGTTCATCACTCTTTTGGAGGTTCTTCAGCAGGAAGTATGTTCTCATCAGCCCTTTGCCTTTCACCTCGATCTCACCCCTCTCAGCGATCTCAAAGATTCCTTTGTCCTTTAACACACTGTGGTGGACAAGAAGTGATGTTCTGTTTAGTGCTTTTCTTGGATCTGGATTCCAGTGGCTACACACACAGAAGGCCTCAGTGCTGTTGTGATTGAACTTATCAAGACCTCACATGTCTCTTATGCTCACCAAGGCTGCATTTATTTGATAAAAAAATACAGTAAAAACAGTAATATTGTGAAATATAATTACAATTTAAAATAACTCATTTATATTTTAATATAGTGTCAAATGTAATTTATTCTAGTGACGGCAAAGCTGAATTTTCAGCATCATTACTCGAGCCTTCAGTGTCACGTGATCCTTCAGAAATTGATTTGCTGCTCAAGAAACATTTTATATTATTATTAATGTTCCAAACAGTTGTGCTGCTAATATTTGTTTTGGAAACCATTTTTTTCAAGGTTCTTTGATGAATAGAAAGTGTATGTGAAATATTTTGTAATATTGTAAATGTCTTTACTGTTAAATTGAATTAAGTAAAGTTACATTTAGGCCATTTGACAATAGGAATCTAAACCCATTCAAAATCTAGCATTCACCTGTATGTGATGGGGCTCACGTGTATGTGATCAGGGACTCCGTGGCTCTCCATCCGAGAGGCTGTATTGACAGTGTCTCCAAACAAGCAGTACCGTGGCATCTTATCACCTACAACACCAGCCAAAACTGGACCGGTGTGCAGGCCAACTCGGATCTAGATTGACAAATCAATTAATTAAACAAATTACAAATTGAGCTTCTGTTTACATAGAGCCGACTGTTTAAACACACGCATACCTGTATGGGCTGTCCTGTGATAGGGCTAGTCACCTCCCTTGCAGCAATTCTCATACCGAGGGCAAAGTTTGCCACCCGCTCCGCATGTGTTTCTGTAGGAATGGGCACACCGCCAACCACCATGTAAGCATCACCTATCGTCTCTACCTGTTGTGAGACAGTTTAATTTTGGTAAATGTTTTATTTCATTTTTTTCTCTTTGATTTATTGTAAGTGAATTATCCAATACATTTTGAAGGTTTTCCTTATAATTAATGTATAAATAATAATGTAATTTATATAAATAAAATATATATTAAATATATTAAAGTATAAAATAAAGTAATATCATTATAAAATATATTAATTACTATAATAAAATAATATAGAATTTAATAAATATATAAAATATAATCAAGTCACAACATAAATATTTAGTGACTTGCTTTATATAAATAAAAAATATATTATATTAAATATAAAATAAAATAATATCATTAAATGATATTAAATATTACAAAATATATAATTTAACATATGAATTTAATATATAATCAAATAAAACTATGTTGAATTTCTGTGTGGATAGATGGATAGATAGATAGTAAATAATTGGAACAACCAATCCCACACAAACCTTATAGACAGTATGAATGTTTGTAAGACGATCAAATCTGGAATACATTGCGTTGAGCATGTTGACTATCTGAATGGGTTCGCAGGCTGCGCAGATGTTAGTGAAGGTGACCACATCACTGAATAGGATGGTGCACACTTTGAATTCACCTGAAAGATTAACAGAAAGAGTCTGATCCATGTAAAGAAAGGAAAATGACAAGTATAAGAGTGTTCTGTAGGGTGTTCCTTGGTTACTTCACCTGCCTCTACTCTTTTGCCCTCTTTAAGCTGGTTGGCAACGTGTGTCGGCAGCATGGCATAAAGGAGCTTCTCTGATTTTTGCTTCTCGATCTCTAAGTGGCGTGAGAGGATTCTTAACTCCTCCTTCTTCCTCTCTAGCTGATTGGAGAGCTCGATCTCTGCCAGCCTCTGCTGGTTGAGCAGGATCAGATCTCGCGTGGTGTCGTGCTGGGCGATGTCTGCCAGGTGAAGACCCCTTTCCTCCAGTTCTTGCAGGCTTCGTAGCTTAGGAGAGCATAGATAGATCATGCAGTTCAGGGACTCCATCCACATCATCTGTCCTAAAACACACACACACATGCAAATTAATCATCAACCAATATGATATATGCAAAACGTTTGCGACATGACAAAGATAATTTTACTCAACAAATTGTCCACTAACAAGGCTGTTGGAAAATTTCAGAAGTAACAAAGGAACTTGACTAAACCACTTTTCTAAATTAGAATCGGTCTTCGCACATTTATAATAGCACAATTATCTAGTGTAATAAATCTCTGTGGATAAAATACCTCGCAGTTTGAGCGTGACCTGGTTTTGCTGGATCTCTGGTAACATTTCTCTCCTGGTCTTCAGCACAAACTGGCTGTTGATGAACTTTTTGATGCTCTGGATGTTGCAGGTGACCTCTGGGTGAACAATGGTGAAGTATTCATCCAGACGGATACCTGAGGTCTGCAGTCCGGGAACAAACTTCTGAATGTTGACACCTGTGTGCTTCACCACCAGCTAAAACGAAAAAGAAAAGGTTCAAACGGTTCAAAATGATTCAATGGGTTTAACATTTGACTTGTTAATAAAAAAAAAAAATGCAGAGTTAGGGCCGGTTCACACAGAACGTATTTTTGCTGTTAAAAACACGAGGTGCAGGTCAGTGGAACGAAAAAAGTGTTAAAAGTTGAACTTATTTTAACTTGAGAGTTGCGTGTTTGCACGTCATGCACGAGATGCTGCAAAAGAAGCGAGACGCAAGTGCAACGGTTAAAGACGCCCGTTTAGCACGTGTTAACTTGGAAAAACAATGGGAAAGTATTGCAGTGGAATGGAAAAATGCATTCTGTCAGAACTGGCCCTTATACTTCCTTACGTTTTGATCAAAAACGATGTGAAAGGGAAAAGCATTACAGAAGGCTTGCTCGTCAATCCACAGTCTTTTTGGGTAGCTGGGTGTGAAGGATTGCCGCAGATTGCCTTAAGAAAGATACAAATTTAAAACCATTCATTCATGTAATATTTGAAAAACATACCAAATCAGGAAAAAAAATATTTGTTATAGTGGGGTCCAACAAAATGTATTTAAAAAAAAATAGTTTTATTAATATTTAATAGCTTTTATTGTTATATTTTTAGTTTTCATGTTCATTTTAGTAAAATTTTTAGTCATGTCATTATGTGCTTGTCATTTTATTTTATTTTAAATATTGCTATGTAGGTTTAATATATTTCCATTTCGGTTTTTGTCATATTTATTTTTTATTTTCAACGTTTAAAATTTTGGTTTAGTTAATTTTTTTTTAATAAACTAATATTTATATAATATAACTATATTTATATTTTATTTTAGTTCAGATTTATTTCAATTACATTCCCCTAACGTAATCCACAAATGTTCTCCTAATGTTATATTCTAACGTAGGGGTGCAAAAATATCATATCAGGTTTTTTTTTTCAGGAAAATCACGATTCACGATTTTATCACGATTCTTTTTCATGTTGGGTTTACTATTTTACAAGTGACTGAGCATTACAGCCAGACCAATGTGCCCGTGTCCCTGCAGGAGTCCGTGCTGGTGTGTCGTGCCGGTGTCCACGCCTGTCCTAGTGTCCGTACCGGTGCCGGTCTCCATGTCCGTACCGGTGTTGGTGTGTCCGTGCCGGTGTGCCCATGTTGGGGTGCTCGTGCCGGTGTCCGTGTTGGTAGCAGTGTCCATGCCGGTGTCTGTGCTGGTGTCCGTGCCGGTGTGTCCGTGTTAGTGCCGGTGTCCGTGCCAGTGTCCGTGTCGGTGTCCATGCCGGTGTCCGTGCCAGTGTCCGTGCCGGGGTCCATGCTGGTGTCTGTGCTGGTGTCCGTGCCGGTGTGTCCGTGCCAGTGTTGGTGTGTCCGTGTCTGTGCTGGTGCCCATGTCCGTGCCGTTGTTGGTGTGTCCGTTTCGGTGCCGGTGTCCGTATTCGAGCCGGTCTCGGTACTGGTGTCTGTGTCGGTGCCAGTGTCTGTATTTGAGCCAGTGCCGGTGTCGGTACTGGTGTCCGTGCCGGTGTGTCCGTGTCGGTATGTTCATATTGGTGTGTCCGTGCCGTTGTCCGTGCCGGTGTGGATGTGTCCTTGGCGGTGTTGGTGTGTCTTGTCGGTGCCGTTGTGTCCGTGTCGGTGTGTCCATGTTGGTGTGTCTGTGTCTGTGTCGGTGTCGGTGGCTGTAATGCTCAGTCACTTGCAAACTAGTAAAAAGAAACTGAAACGTGTGATTGGTTATAATGCTCAATGCTACATAACAAAATCTGACAGAATGCCGCAATCGGATAGATCGAATGAACGTTAAAGGTCCCGTTCTTCGCGATTCCATTTTTCAAACTTTAGTTAGTGTGTAATGTTGCTGTTAGAGCATAAATAATACCTGTAAAATTATAAAGCTCAAAGTTCAATGCCTAGCGAGATATTTTATTAAACAGAAGTCCCCTTTCAAAGCATAAAGCGAACGGCCGGTTTGGACTACATTCCTCTACTTCCTTTTTTAATGACGTAACTAGAACAGTTTTTTGACTAATCTCCGCCCGCAGGAATACACAAAAAAAGGGGGCGTGGTCTTGTTGCGCTCCCACGGAGAAGAAGCACTTCAGCTGCGCATGCATCTCCAATTTATGGTAAGAGGCGTGACCTTTCCGGGCACGTGCGATAAGCTGCTGTCGAATCACAACACAGGAACCGCTGGCACAATCAGAATTCGTTACGTATTTCTGAAGGAGGGACAACAAGGAAGTCATCGGGCCGTTTTTTTGGACAGTGAGAACGAATCGGTTACCTAACGTAACCTCGGTTCTCTCTAGATGAGGGAACGAGTATTGCTTAAGCTAGCTTACGCTATGGGAAAGATTAATCTTTTCTGAGAAATTGAAGCCAAAACATTATCCTATAATTTTGTATCCATTGTCAACGCAGTTCAGCTGCAGCAGACCATGAGCGGGCTAGCTAGCAGCTCATTGGTTCGCTCACAGAGAACTGCTTAAGCCTATGAGGAGACGGGAATGAACTCTCGGCCAATGAGAGTCTGACATGCTCTCATTACATCAGAGCCCGCCGAAACGGGCGTGGTCAGAGAGTATATTACTGGCGTCCTAGGCTGTAAACTCTGGTTTTCATAGAATGAAGCGAGAACGCTAGTAGCACAAGCACGGCCAGAAACGCAATACTCGTTCCCTCATCTAGAGAGAACCGAGGTTACGTTAGGTAACCGATTCGTTCTCTTACTAGAGGTTCTCTCGTATTGCGTAAGCTAGCTTACGCTACGGGAACACCTGGTCAACGCTGTGCGTGCTAAGCATCCACTATGAGTGCCAGGGGAGATCCCAGGGAACCCTTATGAGTGGGAATAAATATATGTACATGTGACAAAGGCCAGCAGAGCGGGCCGGAGATTGTGTAGTACATAAGCACATGATAGAGAGGGACAGAGCGAAACCGGTCTGTGTGAATAACTCCCTATAGTGCAGCTCAACCAGAAGAGCTGTAACATACTAGACTGCTAGTAGTTTAGCCTGCAAGGCGGGAACTTCCAGATTGTAAAATCTGACAAAGGTGGAGGGGGAAGCCCATCCCGCTGCCACACAAATGTCATGAATGGAAATTCCGCTGGACCATACCCACGATGAGGCCATGCCTCTAGTGGAATGAGCCCTGATGCCCAGAGGGCATGGCAGGTCTTTAGATGCGTATGCGGCTGCAATGGCATCAACTATCCATCTGGATAGAGTCTGTTTCGAGGCGACCAACCCCTTGGTGCGCCCACCGAATGAAACAAAAAGCTGCTCGGATCGTCTGACCGGTGCAGTGCGAGTAATGTATAATCTCAGGGCCCTGACCGGACACAGGAGATTAGAGTCAGATTCGCTATCGGATGCAGGCAGAGCCGATAGGGAAATAACTTGTGCCCTGAACGGGGTACCAATCGCTTTTGGGACATAACCATGTCTAGGTTTGAGAACGACTAAGGAGTCATTGGGCCCAAACTCGAGACAGGAAGCGCTAATGGACAGCGCGTGAAGGTCTCCCACATGTTTTACTGACGCGAGCGCGAGCAGAAAAACTGTTTTGAGCGAAAGGTATTTGAGGTCCACGGTGTTTAGCGGTTCGAATGGGGGGGCTTTCATAGCTTCGAGAACTATGGAAAGGTCCCAAATCAGCACCGAAGGGGGGCGTGGGGGATTCATCCTTCTAGCTCCCCTGAGGAAGCGGATGACCAAGCCATCTTTGCCCAGTGACTGGCCGCGCCGGGGTTCAACGAACGCTGCGACGGCTGCCACATACACCTTGAGAGTGGACGGGGACCTGCCCTTGTCCAACATCTCTTGGAGAAAAACTAGCAAGGAAGGAACCTCGCATGACCGTGGGTCCAAGTTTCTGTCAGTGCACCATTTAGAGAACACAGACCATTTAGACGCATAGAGCCTTCTAGTAGAAGCTGCTCTAGCCTGCATGGTCGTGTTTAACACTCCCTCTGGCAAAGCAACGGGTAGTTGTTGATCACCCACGCATGTAGCGCCCAGCGCTCTGGGTGGGGATGCCAGATCGTGCCGCGAGCTTGAGAGAGGAGATCTGCTCTGACTGGAATGGGCCACGGGTCTGACCCTCCCAACGCGGGGCTATTAGGAGCACCGAGTGGTGTGTTTCCCTGATTCTCTGAAGCACCTGTGGTAGCAGAGAAACCGGAGGGAATGCATAAAGCGGGCGGCTGGGCCAGGTCTGGGCTAGCGTGTCCTCGCTCTTTGAGAAAAATATTTTTTTCCCGGGGGGAATGGTGTTCCTGGACAGACTGTCTGGACCGTCGTTCAGATGGCCTGGCACGTGCGTCGCTCTGAGCGAGAGCAGGTGACACTGAGACCAAACTAAGATGCGTTCTGTCAGCCGGAAGAGATTCCTGGATCTGACTCCGCCCTGACGGTTTAGATAGGAGACCACGGCTATATTGTCCGAACGGATCAGCACGTGGTGACCGTGAATGCGCGGAAGAAAGCGCGCGAGCGCGTTCTCGACCGCCAGCATCTCCAAACAGTTTATGTGGAGGAGACTCTCCTGAGCTGACCAGGGGCCGAAGGCCGGTGAGCCCTCGCAGACCGCACCCCAACCCGTGTTGGATGCGTCTGTCGAGATGACTTTTCGGCGAGAAAGGGTCCCCATGGAAACGCCCCGCTGAAACCATTCTGCCACAGTCCATGGCTGCAGAGCTGTGATACAGGTCTGCGTTACTTTTATCAGCTGGCGGCCCGTGGTCCACGCACGGTGAGACACACGGCTCTTCAACCAGAGCTGAAGCGGGCGCATGCGCAGTAACCCCAGCTGGAGCACCGCGGAGGCTGAGGCCATGTAACCCAACGCCTTCTGAAAAGTTTTCAGAGGTGTGAGTCTGTTCATCTGAAAAGATGCGGCGAGATGCTGAATAGGCCGAACGGGAGGACGGTGTATTGATAAACCTGGCCCTCGAAGGCGAAACGTAAGAATGGCCTGTGAAGGGGATTTATCTGAATCTGAAAGTAAGCATCTTTCAGATCTAGTGAAATGAACCAGTCCCCCTGGCGCACATGCGCGAGGAGTTTTCTGATAGTGAGCATTTTGAACGGTCTTTTCATGAGAACTTTGTTCAGAACTCTGAGGTCTAAGATTGGTCTGAGGCCGCCGTCTTTCTTGGGAATAACGCCGTAAAACCCCGACTCGCTCATAGACAGAGGAACTCTCTCTATAGCCCTTTTGCACAATAGCTTTGCTATCTCTGAACGGAGCAGCGTCACTGCTTCTGGGTTCACAATAGTTTCTAGCCGCGCTCGAAAACGTGGAGGGCGGCGGTGAAACTGTAAGCGATAGCCTAGCCTTATTGTGTTTACCACCCACTGGGAAATTCCCGGAAGACCTTCCCACGCTTTGAAGCGTAACGCTAGAGGGTGAATGGCTATATGGTCCCCGTCGCTGCACATAGCGGGCTGCGTGAGCGCGCTCATAGTGTTTATAACAGCGGGACTTACACTCGGAGAGGAGTTTATGGGCTGTGTAACAGAGTGAGCAGAGGTGGGACGCGCACACGGGCTCGTGGGCGCGCTTATGCACTCTATAACTCGAGCGGGTTGAAACCGCTTTATGAGAGTGGACTCTGTGTGAGACACGGGAACTGAAGTGCTTTTGTGTATGAGTGAACACAGTGTTGTGGGCACATTTTCTACACAGGAGGCTTTTATGCTCTTTATGAGATTTCTCTGGGTCGCCGTAAAAACGGCCTTTGTGCTCATGCAAGCGGGAAGGGAGACCGGCTTGGTAATGGCGGAGTACAATGATGTAGTAGCCGCGTGAGCGGGAACTAACAGAGGGCGAAACTTTGACGGCCGTCCGGCCGCGGCTGGGAGAGCGCCGTCTTTTTCTCAGCTGTGCTAGGCAGACTTGGAGTGATCGGGTTTCAGCGCGATCCTAGGCCGAGGCCCCCGAGGAGGCGGCGGTCTGTGGCGGCTGTCAGAGCGAGAACGAGGGCGGCCGCCCTGGCGTCACTGAAAAGTCTGACTGTGCTGAGCTGGGCGCTGGGGATGGGCTCTTGCAGGAGGCAGGTCACGTGAGCGGCCTGCAGAGGAGCTAGCGCGACGAGGCAGAAAGAGATTCATGGCCTGGGAGGCTTTCTGCACTTCGGAAAATCGGTCGACGATACCCGTGACAGCAGATCCGAAGAGGCCGGATGGAGAGAGCGGGGCGTTGAGAAAAGCGGCGCGCTCAGAATCTCCCATGTCGGCGAGTGTGAGCCTCAAATGTCTCTCAGACACACAAATGGCGGCCATGCATTTCCCCAGGGCTTGAGCAGCAGATTTTGTAGCACGAAGGGCAATGTCCGTGGCGCTCCTCAAATCCGCGACTGAAGGGGGATTTTTTCCGCTCTCGTCCGATTCACAAAGTATGTCACCCTGTAGTATCTGAGGGATGGACATGGAGTGAAGTGCAGAGGCTGCTTGGCCGGCGGCTGAGTAAGCGCGGGCGTGAAAGCTTGAAGTCGCTCTGCAGGCTTTAGAGGGGAGCACAGGTGATGAGCGCCATCTCGCGGAGGGCGGGCATAGATGTGCGGCGACTAGGTCCTCTACAGGGGGAATGGAGAGATAACCCTTCTCTGCGGCTCCGTCCACAACGCGAAGCGGGGTGGAAGAGTCGGAACGAGTTCTAGCAGAGAGCAGGGCGTTCCAGGACTTCGTGAGTTCCGCGTGCAGTTCAGGCAGGAAGGGCGCGGCCCGTTTAGTGGCGGGAGTCGAGCGCTGGCGGAAGTAGCTGCCGTCCATACGGTTGATGGTCTGCTCGGGGGGAGGGGACCAATCGAGCCCGAGGCGTTCGACGGCCTGTGAGAGCAGGCGCACTAATTCCTCGTCGATTCCAGCGCGGGTCCCGGAGGATTCTCGGGCCGAGGAGGCGTGAGAACCGGACCATTCCTCACTGTCTGAGGCGAGAAGCGACCATGTTTCCTTGATGTCCGCGGCGTCATCGGAGGCGACAGAGCGGCCACTCGGCGGCAACTGTATGTCCGGAAGCGGCGGAGAAGGAGAGCAGGAGGCGACAGGCTCCGGCGGGATGAACGCTTCTGGCTGGGGTTCCGGCGGCCTCTGAGAGCGGCGTTTCTTCTTCCGCGGCGAAGTCAGAGGCGGTGCGGAAGCAACTTTAGTGGCCTGAAGTCGAGCCCGCAGGGTCGACAACGGCATGTCTTTGCAGAGATCGCAGCCGCCATCGGCGAGGGCGAGCTCAGCGTGCTCCAATCCGAGGCAGAGAGCGCAGATGACGTGGAGGTCTCCATTCTCGAGGGGAGCGCGGCAAGAACCGCAGGAAGATTTACGAGACATCTTTAAAAAGACGCTCGGCTCTTTTAGATACAAAATGTACAGGAAGCTTTTTGTAAAAAGGATACAAATCCGTCGGATGGCGGTAGCTCGCAGGACGGCTGAAGGTGGCGAAGACGGCCGGCTTCCTCAGTCTCCCAGATGCTCGCTAGAGTTGCCTTTTCCACGACGGCGGCTTCTCTCAGGATTAGCAGATGCGTGTAGCCTCGCTGAAGAGATGAAAATCAGAGTTTACAGCCTAGGACGCCAGTAATATACTCTCTGGCCACGCCCGTTTCGGCGGGCTCTGACGTAATGAGAGCATGTCAGACTCTCATTGGCCGAGAGTTCATTCGCGTCTCCTCATAGGCTTAAGCAGTTCTCTGTGAGCGAACCAATGAGCTGCTAGCTAGCCAGCTCATGGTCTGCTGCAGCTGAACTGCGTTGACAATGGATACAAAATTATAGGATAATTTTTTGGCTTCAATTTCTCAGAAAAGATTAATCTTTCCCGTAGCGTAAGCTAGCTTACGCAATACGAGAGAACCTCTCGTAAGAGAACAGCGGTATACAGATAAGTAAATTGTGTGAAAAATACAGTGTTTTTTTACACACGAAACATGAACACATGTTATATTGCACACTGTAAACAAAATCAAAGCTTCAAAAAACCATGAAGAACGGGACCTTTTAAGTATTGTAGTTTTTTTTAACCAATTTTATCACTTAAATATACACTCACCGGCCACTTTATTAGGTACCCCATGCTAGTAACGGGTTGGACCCCCTTTTGCCTTCAGAACTGCCTCAATTCTTCGTGGCATAGATTCAACAAGGTGCTGGAAGCATTCCTCAGGGAGTTTGGTCCATATTGACATGATGGCATCACACAGTTGCCGCAGATTTGTCGGCTGCACATCCATGTTGCGAATCTCCCGTTCCACCACATCCCAAGGATGCTCTATTGGGTTGAGATCTGGTGACTGTGGAGGCCATTTTAGTACAGTGAACTCATTGTCATGTTCAAGAAACCAATTTGAAATGATTAGAGCTTTGTGACATGGTGGAAGTAGCCATCAGAGGATGGGTACATGGTGGCCATAAAGGGATGGACATGGTCAGAAACAATGCTCAGGTAGGCCGTGGCATTTAAACGATGCCCAATTGGCACTAAGGGGCCTAAAGTGTGCCAGGAAAACATCCCCCACACCATTACACCACCACCACCAGCCAGCACAGTGGTAACAAGGCATGATGGTTCCATGTTCTCATTCTGTTTACGCCAAATTCTGACTCTAACATCTGAATGTCTCAACAGAAATCGAGACTCATCAGACCAGGCAACATTTTTCCAGTCTTCAACTGTTCAATTTTGGTGAGCTCTTGCAAATTGTAGCCTCTTTTTCCTATTTGTAGTGGAGATGAGTGGTACCCGGTGGAGTCTTCTGCTGTTGTAGCCCATCCGCCTCAAGGTTGTGGGTGCCATGGCTTCACAAATGCTTTGCTGCATACCTCGGTTGTAACGAGTGGTTTTTTCAGTCACTGTTGCCCTTCTATCAGCTCGAACCAGTCTGGCCATTCTCCTCTGACCTCTGGCATCAACAAGGCATTTCCGCCCACAGAACTGCCGCTCACTGGATGTTTTTTCTTTTTCGGACCATTCTCTGTAAACCCTAGAGATGGTTGTGCGTGAAAATCCCAGTAGATTAGCAGTTTCTGAAATACTCAGACCAGCCCTTCTGGCACCAACAATCATGCCACGTTCAAAGTCACTCAAATCAACTTTCTTCCCCATACTGATGCTCGGGTTGAACTGCAGGAGATTGTCTTGACCATGTCTACATGCCTAAATGCACTGAGGTGCCGCCATGTGATTGGCTGCTTAGAAATTAAGTGTTAAAGAGCAGTTGGACAGGTGTACCTAATAAAGTGGCCGGTGAGTGTATATTCTATTATATAAATATTTTGAAACAAATTTCCATGACTTTTCCAAAACATTCTGGGTTTATTTATTTTTCCAAAACTTTTCCAGGCCTGGAAATTGCTATTTTAAAATTCCATGACTTTTCCAGGGTTTTCATCACCGTACGGACGAACCTTTGATTTCCCCCCTAAAACCTTTAAAACGTTAATTAAAACACAGAAAAATTAAGCTAGTTATTTTGAACAGTTTTCTTGTAATTAATAATTCAATGGTGCTGTATAGTGCCAAAAGCAAAAACAGTAGTTAGTGTGACTGAATATCTTTCAAACCTTGGCCCAACATGACAATGCTCCTCACAATCTCCCATGGAGATCGTTTCCTTGGACACAGCTGCATGTTGGCATACCTGGCCTTCATCCTTTTGATTGTCTCCTCCTTGTTCTGTTGATATAGCAGTTGTCATGGTTACATACTTTCAAACATGTTACTTATGATTTCAAAATTACAAAGACAGCAGACAATTGAGAGTCCAGACCTACTTAAACATTCATGATGTTTCTGAAACTGATTTAAGTGTCTGATCTTTGAGCAGGTTAGACTACTTGAAATGTTAACACTCCTTTATTGTGTTAAACATGATAGTGCCAAAGCAATTGATATGCACTTTGAAAAAGAACACTTTAAAAAAAAAAAGCATTCAACATCATAGAGAGATGTTCAAATATAATATGCAAGAAAAAACACACAACAGTTCCATATTTTCTGCAATGTCTTCCTGGACTTACACACCTCTTTCTCTGTTTGTATTTCCTCTTCACTGCCTATCTGAGCCTTTCTTTTGGCCACCTTTTCCTTCTGTACCATGTGGAAAACCACATGTTCCTTCTTTCCAGTGCGCTCATCTTCTTCTGATTGGTTCAGAATGGTCATCGTAACCTCACTGTCAAAGAAATCCTTCGCCACAGCCTCAATAATACCTGGCCAACAATTATAAATACAACATGAAAAAAAAAGAAAAAGTACTTGATAAAATGTGCTTATGATCACAAAGAAAATTATTTTATAGTCGCATATAAAAAAATATATTTTTTTTAATATATGTTCTAAAAAGAGCAGATTAAAGAAACATATTTTCACATTGAAAATATAGCTATTTAGTGTACAACCTAAATGCCAAAATATATTACAAAATGTACACAAAATTTTGCCTCAGGAGGCATTTTAAAACACGTTTTTGGACTAAATTCAAAGATTTAAAATATGTTTTGGACTATTTAAATATATTTAGATATTAATAAATATGATTTCTTTTTCAAAAAAAAGAAAAAAAAAAGAAACATAAGTAACTAAAATGTATTGAAATATATGTATGCATATTTTTTCACATCTACATTAACAAAATATTTTGGCAATCCATGTAGGCTATCTAAAAATATACATTTAGCTGTATGGGGTTTCTGATAGCTTTATGCCTTTCATGTTTAAACTCTCACCTGGCACAATATGATAAAGTCCTTTCCTGTCTGAGTAATAGTGAAGAAGAATTCGGCCATCATCCATCCGCTCCACGCGAAAGGACGGAGCATTCATGGCCTAAGTAGAGTTACAAACCATAATAAGTTCATAGTTTTTATTTCATATGTTCTCAAACATTTGTACAAACAAAACACTGAGCCAACATCAAATGTCATTGTAAAAACATTTGCAAAGGAAGTAGGCCTATAATAAGTGAACTGAGATTACATTTGGACTGAGATTCGTAATTTTTGTAATAGCTGTCACCCCCCTTTTTGAGAATGCGGAATATATCTATTTCCAAGATATATTCAAAGCCATATATCTAACCAAGTTGTGTTCCAAATTTGAAGTTGATATCACAAAAATTGAAGTTCCCATGATATTTTGTTTAGGCGTAGTGCCAAAAATAGCCACCGGGTGCCATACATTAGAGGGGAGTTGAATTTAGTTGTATACATTCTGCCTTAACAAATTAATAATTTTCTGTCCAAATCAATTCTGTCACAAAATTTGGAACCTTGAGACTTAGACCTTTCTGACAATATGTGTTTTGTCAAGATTAGAAAAGGTTTTGATCATAAATTATGGAATATAATAATGCCCAAAAGGAGAGGAGCCTGATAAAATAATTTAGAGTACCGTTTCTATGGTAACGCAACATTTAATTTCAAAACGATTTTCACCGGATGAATTCTGAGTTTGTAAGCTTTCAAATGATACCTAATTTATGATGATTACTAAAATATGTGATGTAATAAAAAAAGGCGATAAAAAAGATAATATTATATTTTAGAAGATAATATAATATTATAATTTTTTATTGAAAAAAAACTAGATTATATGTTTTATTATGAACTTTTAGCATGAAAACCAAAGTTTCAATTATTAAAGGTGTGTGCATCAACTTTTTGTGACAAAGGTCAGAACTCCTGTTATGATGCAGATTTTTTTGAGGTGCAATCTTGTCAAAAATTCATCGGTTACTCTTCCTACATAATTTGTAGCAAAAAAAAAGCAGTCAAATATCTATTTAGGAGTCTTAGACCTTTCCAACCATATATAGTTTGTCATAATTAGATTAGGATTTAATAGTAATATAGCAAAGTAAAGGCGTCCCGTTTACGGGACGGTGACAGTTAACTGTATGATTCACATAGAACGTGTTTTTGAGTTCCACTGCTCTGCATTTTTAATGTTTTTCTTTTGTCTCGCACATGACACGACATTCTAAAAACGAAGTTCAACTTTTTTTAAATGTGTCTCTAGAACTTTTTTTCTGTACATTGACCTGCATCTCATGTTTTTGCTCTTAAAAGTTTTGAGTTTTGAGAAGCATTGAGTATTCTGACCTCATAAGACAATGCCAAATAACTGTGTAGAGCATCAAGATTTTCAATGAACTCCAGCAGGTTTCCACCGAGAGTTCGCAGCATAGTGTCATATCCCGACATCTTACAAAAGCTGAAAAAGTATTCTCCAAACAGCTTCAAAACCACCTCGGAGGAGACATCTAAGAAAAATCAAACAGAACTTACATTCAGGCAGCAGTTTAATTTCCTTTTCAATTGCGTCTAGGTTATTGTGAGACCAGTTGAGTGGAGTTCAGTGTGACCCACTCAGAGATTCACACCTGTCCTTGTCCACTTACTCTCAGGAACATATTGGAGGACAGGTTATAGGACATCAACCATCATGATGCCCAGTGGGCTGTTCTCAGTAGGGACATAGTTAGCACTCTCTCAGACACTTGACCAATGTCTGCAAGTCCCCAAGGACATTGTGAAAACAAGGCAATTGTGAGGCTTTCACGGTCTACTCGCTCTTTCTTTCTATATTCTTTTCTCAAAAATGTATAAACAGACAGACATTTAAAAGTGGATCCAAACAAAAACTGGCCTTTTAAAGAAGTGAAACATTCTGGTGAGTCAGACAAAGTCCCTAACCAGCTTTTGAAAGTAGGTTCCTTAGCTGACATATGCATAGACAAACATAAATGCAAATAAACACAAATACATATAGATATATAGAACACTATCATTCTAAGATTCTTAATACAAAATGATGCTCACCCAGCATTTTACAAGCCTCTTGCACTAAACGAAGAGTGATGAGATCGTCGTAGATTTCATAGGTCATAAACGTCTCCTGGACCCCGGCCATTAATCTAGGAAAGATTTTGTTTAGTTGAAACAAACTACAAATCTCTCCATGATTTCTTTACACATTACATGTGTTGTAACAGACCTCAATTTCTCCCATGTTTCTTCTCCAAACCTTTCAATGACCAGTGACTTCAGACAAGTATTGATAAAGCCGTACTGTGAGACAAACACACCGTTAATTGAAAGCTGCTGGAATACTGTACATTATGTGGTATACTAGCGAAAGCTATACAAAAATGTTTAAAAATGTTTTACTTACCATTTCTCCAAACCACAAACAAACTGTTGTAATCCCAAACTTGTAGACTCTATACTCTCTCCACACTGAGCAGAAGGAGATGCTCTTTAAATTATGGTGTGTCGATTATGTAGACTCATGCAGACACTCCCACTCAACCATACTCTTACATAGATGAATGCATGCCCACATACACACATCTGATGATAAGGAAATCACTGCTCACTCAACTGTGAACAGGGATGCATTTTAAAGAGAATGTTTCACTTTGCAATTAATATATTATTATCACATTGGAAACTCTAACCTGTTACATTTGTAGACAGGCCTAGGCTTATACCATATTCAAGTGCATATTATGCTTTTTCGAATATTCCCTTTCATGCAGTGTGTAAAAGCTGTCTGTGAATGTAAACGGTCTGCAAAGTTGTAAAGTAGAAAGTGCACAATAAAGTTATTGTCTCTCAAATGAAAGAATCAACTAATCGAACTACCTAAATGAGTAGTCTGGAATTCCAGTCTCACTTCCGTGACCTGCATACGTAAAGCGGGAACGCATTTGCATAATGCCCACCTATGGTCTTCATTGCGCTGCCCGCGAACAACGTCTACTTTGACCCAACCTCAAACACTGTAGCTGGTTGGTGTTTTGGTCATGTCGAGAAGACGCTGTTTTCTGCTCTGCAAAAGCAAAAGCAAATTCCAACTTCCAAAGGATGAGGATGTGAAGAGTCAGTGGTTAAAATTACCACAGCGGTACAACAGCCTTTTGATGATTGCTTCTCAAATCTCCATAAGGTCTAAATGGGATTTACAAAATGCTTATCCATTAAAGATGGAACTTTATTTGGACCAACTTCCAAGAATCACAACCTGCATGTAAGTATGATTAATTATTGATCTATTTTCTACCAGGTGTTCAAAATACGTAGTTTGTGTTTTATATTGTGTAGGTCTCCGGCTAACTTGCTAATTCGTGTTATTACTGTCTTACTGAAATAGTTATGCTGTGGGCCCAATATTAACAAAAATTGTGTCCATTGATGCAGACTGTCTGTTGTTCTTACTCATTTGAATAATGATAAAGGATGGAGCAAGATTTGTTTTACAAACTTTAATGTTACATCAGTCATTCACGTTAGTGCATGGGTCACGTATGATACAGTTAAAGTTATGCTGATGGTGAGGAATTACAAATTACAATTGCAACGTCTCATATTGTACCTCAAAATCATATCGCTTAGTCCTGCTCAAGTCGTCCTTGCGATGGAGGTTTGGGTTGAATAACTAGTTCTTCCAATGTTTCATCATCGGACTCACCCTCGGATTGATATGGTAAAATCAACGCCATCGTTGCTGTCTTTACAGTTTGTACAATCTCTGAGCTTTAGGAAGCATCCGGAGCTAAAGTTCAGTTATGGTGATGTGCATTTCGACACACACTGGCAGAAAAATCACAACAGACTCACTGGGCCATCACCAATCAGAGCAGAGCAGGCTCGCGAAAAGGAGGGATTAATAGAGACTGAATCTTCGGACAATCGTTTGAGAATCATTGAAAAATGGAGTGATGTGCAATATATATTATGTGAAAATTAAAGTTTTTTTTTTTTTTGCATGTATAGGATATCTGCTGTGGGAGACATCCAAAACAAAATTAGCAACCTTTAAAATAGCATAATAGGGGCATTTTGAGCGTTTCAATAGATCAATGATGCTTGATTCTCTCTTCTTTTTTCCCCTTCTTTTTTTGGAGGGAAATCATGAACTGTCTTAACCCTAGTCCTAGGTGTTGTTGCACAAGCTTAGAAATGCTTTCTCTTTCACTTTAATCTCCACCAATTGAAAACTTTGTTTTTGATGGAAAGTACAGTGCATAACCAGTCTTATAATCAAGAGTGAAACACTTAAGACTATATTTGGGGAAAATCTATAGTTACACTGCCGTCCCTGACACCTTAACCCACCCTAAACCTTACCAAACTTGTACCTTATATACCTGTATCCCACCTCAATAGCAGAAAAAGAGTTTTGCAATACAATATGAACACAAAAAATGCATTGTACATTTTTTTTTTTTATGTAGGCCTAGGAGTCCGACACACATTATGAAAGTGTGACCCGATTATGTTCTATTTAATAGTGTACGGATGTCTGTGTGCAATTTGTCATAAGAAATGGTGTAACAGATTCCATAAGTGCACTAAAAGTTATCAAAATGGGTTTTATTATTTTAATTATATTTTGATATGAAGGATATGCATTAATATTTATCTCCGCTATATTTGTTCATTTTTATTTAACTCTCTCCAACTCACAGAACCAATCAAATTAGCCTATTTTTTTATTTTTGCCTAGAAAAAAAAAAATCAGAAATAGCAGCACCTGATCATGATATGCCAAACATGCGTTTACCTGAAATGTCCCAGTAGCCTTTAGGCTATTTGTCAATAGAATGTCACCATACATACAAGTTTCTGTTATAGCCTACTTTTTCATTATATCAGAATAATAGTATATAGCATGTGTTTAAGTTCAAATTTTCCATCTTGGAAATGAGGAGGATACGTTAGAAAAATCTGAAATAGGGCCTATTGGAAGTTCAGGGAAACTTTCGTGGAAACTCTGGTAAAAACTCCCCATGCAGGTGGATGTAATAAAAGCCGCTGGCAGTTCTTGAATCTCAGTTGCTACACTGTTGCAAGTCTGGGCATATCCTTGAGAAAGTACCGTAAGAAGACACCTTGGGTCAGTTGTAAGTGTTTACTGAAGACCTTTGGACTCCCTCTTTTATATTTGATGGTTAATTGCGTAGGGAATCTACCTTCAGGTGCAATAAAATCTAGTTTAAAAGCTGCGTTTGCTGACGCTTCCGTCGCATTGACAGCAGACGAGGCGAAATCAATCAGACAAAATCAAGGTAAGATTTGATTATTTTTTCAGCTTCTGTCCCTTTTTTCTTTTTGCAAACAGTGAATGCGTCTTCCAAATGCAAAGTCCTTAAAGTAGGTCAGACTTTGAATCAGGCAAAATTAGACCCAGTGAGATGCCTATTTCTGGCATCATAGGCTATAGCTCCCGAGAATCTTAGATTAATCGCTAATGATAGGCCTTGTCCATTTCGGTTAAAATCATAGATTATATATCATAAATTAGTCATGGTTATGAAAAAGCTGTCTGAGGATGAGCTGGTTTTACTGGCGCAGAGAGAACAGTTGTTTATTCAGTTTTTAAACATAAATTATTGGCTGAATGTTTTTAAACTGAATAAACAACTGTTCTGGCTGTGTCTGTAATTCAGTGGTGATTGAATATTCCTTTCATTCAGGTGTATTTTTTAAAAACGGTGATCGTGGTGTCACATGTAAACTGTTCCTTTTCTCTGCGCATTTCACGGTAGTCCAATCATTGTCTTGAGATTTTTTTTTTAAACTCATGTTATAAAGATTGTTTGTGATGGTGTTCCGTATTCCCCCGCCCCGATTGCCAGTCATAATAATAGATACGAGCAATTATACTTTTTTAGTGTATAGCCTGCATATCTTCAAATAGACAAAATGTCTTGACAATTGAATACAGATGTCTCACATATGCTACCCAGTGGTTAAAAGTCTGCAAATAACTGATTATTATTATTTGTTTTATGTTATTAATATTTCAAGCTTCCATGGATAAATCATTTTCAGGGAAAACATACAGAGATTAGTATAAAATTGAAAAACAGAAAAAAGTTACAAAATATTTGCTGATAAATTATGATATTGTAAGCCTATATGATGAAGAAAGGACCGCATCCGACTTGAAATTTCAAACTAATGGAGTAGGCTACATATCTTGCTGTACAAGCAGTAAGCGAATATAAAAAAAATTATTTCAATTTTATTCTTTCCTTAGATGTTTTGTGAAACTACTCTGTGGAGCATAGAATGCGACAAACATCTTCAAACAACCAGGGATCCGATATGCCTGATGGAAATCTCATCGGGGAGATCTGTTTCCATTGAGGACGTGAGTGGAGAAGGATGGATATCTGAACAAAAGACGCCATCCAAACAGAATCACAGGATCATCAGTAAACCACAAACGACAACCAAGAGCCGAATCTTTCACTCTGAAAAATTCTGGACATTCCTCCAGTTAAAGATATCCACACTAGCATGATGAGGACAAGTGACCCTGATGTGTCAAAAAGACTTCTAAAAAGGACTTGCACATTGAACATATTAATGTATCATATAGTAAGCATTTGTATACTTTTATTTAGTAGTAAAGAAAATTAAATGTGAATTCTATTTATTAAGGATAAATTGGATGCTTGTTTCTTTTGGCACATTGTTGCACGTAATGTCAGGCATCTGCTGTTGCTTTGAATTTCAACCAGAGGGCAGCGATGAGTCACTGGCTCTGTAATGAAACGTGTTGACCAAGTGGCACTTTGTAGCATATTACTGTAGGCTGAGATGGTCAGATCTGACTATTTTGCACAGGAATTTAACAAATACAATATTAAGTAAACATCAATCAAAGCTAAAGTTCAGCTAAATTTTTAATTGTTCCTCCTGCTTTAAAAAAATAACTAAACATATGATTATGTAGTCATGCATTTTCTTACATGTCACTTTAAGGGCTTTATAATGAATGTTTGAGCCAGGTTTAAAATGCAACAATTTTATGAAAGATGTGATTTCTCTATTTGCATTGTTTATGTTTACAGCTAAATTGAAAATCCACTATTAAAGTGGCTTTCAAGATGTGTGTATTTGAATATAATGCATATATTATGGTTTATAGTTTATTAATAAAATATGTTCCAATTGCAGCTTGCTATCTCTTTGTTCGAAAGACAAATAGACAAACAAAGGTCAAACAAATAACCTGTATGAACAAAGTATAAAAACAGGGTTCACAATGTTTCATAAATATAAATGAAAATACGTTATTGATTAGAATTCACACATCAAGGATGGCAGGAAAAAATATGGCAGATCATTAAAAAGGGATTGAGGATGCCAGATTCAATTCATAAGGGAATTGTTTGTTCGGCCCAAGGATTCGGGATACAAAGTGCCCCCTCTGATCATTCGCATTGAGGCCTTGAAAGAGCTCAGATTTGAACACAAACACGCTCTGGCATGATCTAATTAGTCTATTTTCAAAACCTGGATGTCACTTTCAACTTATCTTGTCCTCATTAAATCAAATAATGGCAGAAAAATAACCGAAACAGTAATCACAGCTGACCTCACACTCGTCTGCCTTTACATCTCTTCTGCAGGCCTGAAAACGCAAAGTTTTGAAAATGGGTTTAAACTTTTTGGTTTTACACGACAATGTAGGGCCTACTAAAAACAGAAAAGCTTTTTCCGTGTTTACTGGTCCAAGTCAAATCCAAACCCAAGTTAACCAGCAAAAATTGTACTGGCATTTAGTCTTCTAACAAAACGTTTAATTGCAATGAAAACTGTAACAAGCATTTTTGAACACGTCACTTCAAACAAACATGCCGTGCATGCAATGAAATGTGACAACAACAGCAAGCA